ATTCTTACATGAAATTTTGATTTCCATGAACATTGAAGGCCTTCATGTACATATTTAGTTGAGTCCATTGCATTTTAGGCCTGTTTCTTTGAGTTCATCTTAGTTCCCCCTGTTCCTTGAGGAGTGTTGGGGAGCTGCAGTTCTCTTTCAGCCAACTTGGTCCTCAGCTAGAGTTGTTGCCTACCCCAAGCTCAAACCCATTTCCTCCAAAGCTGTGTGCCGGCCTTTTATATTAGAAAATATATTGAAATAAGACCATTCCTTCCTCATTTTAGTTGTACATTGCACAAAGTCTTTCTCTATGTCCAAAGTGCTCATAATCATGATTTTATTACAATTATCATTCTTGTTATCACATCTATGATTTTATGTACTACATGTACATGTAGTAGGAAATGTACATATTTAATCACTTTCATTCTCACAGAGTGGCTACTGTAACATTGAAATGTAGTAAATGTAATGATTTATGTATATTGATGGGATACAAATCTGGATGTTTATGAGGAAAGCTTGCTTCATTCATAATTAATTTTCTGTATCATTTAAAGAACTGAAAAAATTGATGTTTATGAAGAACTCGTTTTGATTTGTTTATTTCCTGTACTAGTTGGAGAGCTGAAAGCAGAGCTTGAGAAGCAGTTATCAGAGTCAGAGGCAAGGGGTGACCAAGAGAAGCAGAGCCTAGCACAGGAGCTCTCCAGAGGGAAACAAGCTGTCATCAATCTTATGCAGGTAAGTTTTTTTGTTTTTTTAACCCCTGTTCCCACTCCCTACTCCTAATCCTATTGCTTGAATATACACTTGACCTGTCATCGTTTTCATACAGAGCAGAAAATATTTCTCCCTGCCCCCCCCCCCCTTCCATCTGACTCTTTACCAATCCTCCAAACCCCAATATTTGTCGAATAAATATCATTTAAAATGTGGAGCTTCAATTTATCTGCAAGGTGCTCTCGGACTATGCTCTTCTCTCAACAACAAAAAACTCTTTTTTTTTAAAGGGCAAAAAAAATTGCCTGCATGTTGCCAGCACCGTTAAAAGAGAGGGAATGTTCCTAGCATGACATTTCAGAATTTCTCAGGAACTGTTGGTTCTGTGCAGAAACCGGCCATAAGATCAACCTCCATCAACGCTGTCGATCATACAGACACTGATCAAGATCTCTTGATAGCCTGGCTAGGTCCTTCTAATCACAGGGTCTTGGGGTGAGAGGTGGAAGGGATCGATGAACGGCTGAGGAGATCTAGTCTACAAGCATAGTCTCTAATTTGACACTTTACCATAATTCCTAAGGCTTTGAGCAGAGCCTAGACTGTCAGTTTTGGCTGTGGCAAGGCCCTGTTTCATAAAACTTGTTATCAAGTACAAATGCTAAATTTCTATGACAATTTGCTCTCAGCCAATCAGATGCCACAATTTCAGTAGCTTAAACAGCCTTTTAAACTTGTTATTGATAACATGTTTTATGAAGCAGGACCCTCGACCTATTGACATATTGTAGTCTCATAGTGCAGACACTGTTACTCAACGACTGACAAGGGTTTGTGCATGTAAGCTTGAGGAGTTCCACGGGGGATTGTATTTGGGTTATGTAGGTCAAATGGACAGCAGGGTTGTGACAAACAACATGACTTTGGACAAATTTCAAGCACCCAAACATTATACTCATCAGTGCATTGTCAGACAATTAAACTGAAGTTCTCCCCGATGCTGGTAATGATGTTTGGAAGAGTTCCCAGAGAAACAAGCAAAAAACTCACTCTTCTCCAATACTGCATGTATGTACCGTATCTTGCCAAATACATGTAAACTTGGGTTTGTCTGTATTCGTTGCTACTCTTCAAATGATTTGGTAGAATGTTGCCAACTACCTTTAAATACTAGCTCTTCAACTAAAAGAAAAGGAAACAAAAATAAAGGAAAAAAGTCAAACCTTAGTCAATGTACAATGTACATGTACATACATCATGTGGTTAGCTGAAAGATGAATGATACACTTGTACCTGTACATGAAGCAATAGATAGAAACTTGGAAGGCAGATAAAATAGACAAAGTGAGAGAAAGAGGGAATGGTGGGGGGGGGGGGGGGTATATAGAGGTATGGTTTCACGTCATCTGAATCTGTGGAGGTGAGTGGTAGAGAAATGTTTTGATAGGAGAGAAAGAGAGAGACAGAGACAGAGAGATAGAAAGAGAGAGATTAAAGAAGAGAAATAGATGAGACAGAGTGAGAGAAAGAGAGAGTAGAGGAGATGATAGTATGGTGGGGGGGGGGGGGGGGGGTGGGTGGGGTATAGGAAGAAAAGCTCCTGTGCATAATGGTATACCTACATGTACAGTACTTGTAAGGTGAGGCCCCTGTCTGTTTGTATTCTGTCTGTATTTCCTCTTGTGGATCTTGATGGTGTGTGACTAAGAAAGGGGAATAATAGTTGATTTAGATGTAAGGAGAGAACCAGAACAGACAAAGTGAGGTTAATCAAGAAATAAGAATGGAGGGGGAGGGGAGGTACATGACATGTATATGGGAGGCCCTGCTGTCTACATGTAGCATAAATCTACATGGGTTAGAGATACTGTACAGAATTGAATTGAATTTTCAATACACAAGTACATACAAAAACATATATCTATACATATAAATACATTATAAAATTATGTTACAAAGTATTCATTGAAAATGCATCAATTATACTCAATATACCATTTCAACATGTAAAGCAAATATGAATGAATTATAGTTATTGAAAGTTAGTATGAAACTGATTGAAAATGCGTCTTACCTGAAAATAAAACTGCATAGATTTGCAGTGTACATGTATATTTCTTATCACTAGAATCTGTATCCAGTTCAGGAAATATTAATGTCATTCCTCCAAGCCCCTCTCCCTCATAATAGCCAGTCTAATAATACCAATGACAGCTTATAGAAAGATGATGAGTCGGTCTGTCAAGCCTGTTATCTCGTTTGTGGGTGGTTTCCTGACGGTCTCAATTAGATGAAAAACATGGGTTAGATGATACAGTGGTTTTCCTCACATGCTACAAGTATAAGTTTATCTAATGAAGAGATAATTGGGAGAACCGTGAAATGGACACCATTCCTGACCTTGTATCATTATATCAGTTGAGAGCCACAAAGGCATTTTAAAATTCAACATTTAAAGGTAAAGACCAGTATTGGAAACGCCCCAATTTCAAAAAATGAAATGGAAGCTCTCATTACCAATCATGTGAAAGAATATGTTTTGACTAATACATGATGATAAAAATTTTGCCGGGAAACCGCCTAATATTTGGTAAATTTGTTTCTCTCATGGTCTGTGAGAGATATAGGGTAGTCCCATATACATCTTTCTGTGTATAGTGCTTGTAACTTTACGAAGAATGGGCCAAATTTCTTATCATTTTGATGATTCCAGAACCTTGCAGATGCTAGATGCTAGATGATCAACCTTTTCTGATCGATTCCACGTTTCTTTCACAATGCAATCGCATGACCACAACTGGTCTTTACCTTTAAGCAAAGTTTAGTTCCTTACAGAACTGTCTCTGAATAGACAATACGATACTGTATATACTTTTGGTCCTTATTTGTTTTTGAAACAATAACAGAAGTCTTTTCAAATTTTATTGTTTGGTTGTTTCAACTATTTTGAAAAAAAATGATGGCCTTTGTGTTAGGCCTGTAACCGATCATTGGATTGGGGGGCCGATCTTGAGCCCATCAGGGGTGATCGGATAATAATTTCCGATTTCCGATCAATAAAAATGATCGGGAAAAAAAATCAACAGAAACTGTTTTTTTTTTGGTTCTCATAGAAATTGGTGAAAAACTACTAGTATCCTGAAGAAGTAAGATCCAAATACGTGTCCATGTACTTTCATTTTGAACTGGCAAAGCAAATATATAGGTTCTTGAATGACTTTTGCACGAGAAATCTCTCCATTTAGCTACATTGTAAAACCCTGATGGCCTTGCATGTGTCATCATCAGCATAAATAGAAACAAAAGGGATGAAAATAAGTTTAGCTCAAGATTTCTCCTTTCGCTACATGTACCTAGACTGATGTGTCATGATGGGATGGGTTGAATCCAGGTATGTCTAAGAGATGTAAACAATGGGATGGGTAATTACAAGCACAACCCCCTCCCCCTTGCCCCTCTCCTTCTCACCTTGCACATTTCCTGAGTCTTGATTAGAGTTGAGAGAGAGAGAGAGAGAGAGAGGAGAGAGGGGGGGGGGGGGGAGGAAGGAAAATCCAATTTAATGTATTTGAAAATAATTGAATTTGTTGCTTCATCTGTCATTATAACAGAAGTATGTCACATGATAATTATGCATGTACAGAAAGAGAGAAAAAAGAGTGGAAATATAACTTTTTTGTCAAAATATTAAATACAGTATATCTCAAAGTTGACAGTCCCCCAAATATACAAAAAGAAATGAAAAAAAGAGTTGAAAAACGAGAACAAACTTAAGGCGGAAGGTGAAGCAGCTTTTGCAGACCTCTTAGCTGTCTTTCTTCATACACCTACATGCATGTTTCTACACAGGTACAGAAACTGAATGAATTTGTATTAATGTACTTGAAATATACTGGCTCAAGAAAAGTAGAACTGAATTGCACGTAGTCATGTACATTTACGTCGTAGCAGCTTGAATTATCAACTATCAGTTTTTGCTGTCATGGAAAATATAGAGAAATGGCAAGTAACAGTGAGTCACACCAAAGTCATCTACACGATCATTGGTAAATTAAGATTTTTATCTCAATTGGTTGGACACAGGAAAAGGGAAAGGGGCTGGAAATTCTTGAAATCCTTCACCATTTATCACCATCGTACTGATATGATGTGAGATAGAATGAGAGAGAGGGAGAGAGAGAGAGAGAGGGAGAGAGAGAGAGAGAGGGAGAGAGAGAGAGAAGGGGCGGGGGGGGGGGGGGGGGGAGGTTGTAGAGAGAAATACATGGATATCTAGAGAGAAACAGATGTGGCAAATTTAGTGTTTAGTGAAACAAAAAGAAGAAATAAAGAAAGGAAAAGATGAGAGATGATGAGGGTAAGGACTCCAAAGGAAATATATGTATCCTTAGATGTAGAACATTAGAGACAATGTATATCAATTTTTTTTTGGAAAGAGAACAAAATGTAATTTAGCAATTACATTATGGGAAAATGTAAACGTATAAGGCCAGGCAACATATTTGTGAAAATGCTGTTTGTTCTTTCGCTACAGCCTGTATAATATTTATGCGCAAATGCGATTGCCATGCTGTCATTGTAAGTGTTTTCGTCATACGAATGCGTAGAGAAAGTAACCTTTTATCACGAGTATGATCCTAGCCCGGAGATGGTAATTAAAAGCTGGACTAGCAGGAGAAAATGGTATCAACCCAACCCCAGGGAATGTTCCTCAGCAGCTGCCTTAATTTACCCTTTCCTTTTTCCTTTTTTATTCCAAGTTTCCTTCTTTCCTGTCTTCCTTTTTGCTTTTCTATTTCCTGTCTCTCTCTGTGTACCCTCTGTCTGTACACTGTACTGTGCTCAATTATCTTTCCTCATTTTCTCTCAATCCATCTTTCTCTCTCTCTCTCTCTCTCTGTTCCCAATCTCTTCATACAGTACATACCGGAACATAAATTGTACAGGTGTATCATGATGTTCTTTACCCCCCCCCCCCCACCTCACTCTCTCTCTCTCTCTCTATATCTCTCTCTCTCACTTTCACTCTCTCTATCTCTCCCCCTCTCTCTCTCTCTTACTTTCTCTTTCACTTTCTTCCTCTCTCTCCCCCTCTTGCTCTCACTCTCTGTTCCTTACTTTCAGTAACTTATTTGTTCTTGAAACATATCTCTTAAAGTGTCTTTTTCCTAACTTTATACCAATGCTTCACTGTACATATATATCTCTTTTCATTTTCTTCACCCTCTTCCCTCCCCTCTCTTCCCTTTTCCATTTTTCTTTCCCCTAATTAATTTTCATTGTCCATGTAAATATTAAAATAGGCATACGTGTATACATGTAGATTGGTAGTACCTTTTAAAGGAACTCTGTATCATAGCCCGAGATGACAGTGTAAGCCGATGTGTGAAAACCATCCCCTTCAGATACTCTACACAGGAAGCCTGTCAAGGTTGGCTATAATGAGAGACAAACCCTTGCGATGATGGCTGCCAACGGACACCCTCTACAGGTTCAACGTCATACCTATCTGTCTCATGACCGGAATCCCGTCGGCCAATACAGTCCATCTGATGACCTCACCCCTCTCTGCGTTGAGATCTCAGTCGGCAGATCAAGGTTCGAAAAGCAAGAAAAAGAAGTTTATTTGACTGATCTGCACTACTCTGGACAAAGACGTGAGTCACGTGCTGGGAAGAGTCCAAAGTCCAAACGTCGTCGCTCTTGGACTTTAACTTTGACATTTGGGACAAGTGTAATTGGTTCTTGGCATCCATCGCCTAGCTGTGAGATGGGGTTGTTGTGGTTATACACCCCTCTCGTCTTGTGCGTCTTATTATAGCTACCGCTCTTGTTTGGTACTTCCTGCCGAGGTCTACGAGACATATGACATATTAGATAGAGCTGAGCCTGTGTGAACCAGCCCACTCACAGAGAGCAGTATCCCTACTTTGCAAACAGTGTGGTTCAGTGATGGCCTATCGAATAGGAAACTTGTATTAAAGAAGAAGCGCAACGTCATATTTTTTTTAAGGAACTTGAATAATCTTCTATATTGTCTTGTGTGAAGTTGGACATCTTTGCTTAGTTTTTTACACCTGTCAAACTTTTAATTTGCTGTCAACTTTTTTGTGACTAAGTTTTGGATTCAGCTGTGACTCAACATTGAAGATCCTCAATTGCCAGTGATCTCATAGTTTGTCTGCCTCAGAATGTCTGTTGTGAGAGATAATGTTGCTCCTTTTAGTTTTTACATAATGCAAGATGTAGAGGTTGTGCTTAACATTTAATCTGCTTCTCTCACAAATCTCTGGGCTAATTTTCTTGAAATGCAACAGCTATACAATGTGCTCTATGTAAATAAAACTGTCTGTCAATGATAGGGGGCTACATGTATGCTGTGCTCATCACTGTGCTCAACACTGAGCTCAACGCTGAGACAAGTTGTCCAAGCATTTCCTGTGATAGCTTGAGGAGCATGGTCTGGGCCTACGTTGCTTGCAAGGCTTCATGTTTAGTAAACATGGTCACCCATCACGTTCATCTTCCTGACGAGTCACTGGCGTATAACAGTGCTCATGCGTTGGCTTGTGTGGTTTAGATTTGAGCATCGTTCCGTTTAGGGGAAGTGAACCATTGTGACTTTCTTATTGCCAGTGACAGGAGCCTCTGATGGGGGGCTATTAGTTAGATAAGACGCACTTGGAGGCTCGCAGGGGGATTATTTGCCAGTCCCGCTTCTGGTTGCATGTTATCTCGCAGCATTCGCATTCATGTGAGAGCATATCAACGTGTGACTTCCTCCTGGCTGAGTTGAAGTCAGAGTCACAGCGAAACGCTGTAGCAACAAGATTACCTTTCAAAGGACAACATAACTTTGTGTAGAACCAACGCAACAGTCAGCCAGAGACGTGTCATTACTTTGAGATTCACAATTCTCACTCTAGCTTATTTGATTCATTTACCAACTTTCTTCACAAACGACTGTGCGCATGCATTGTAGCTTCTCCCCTATTGCTTCTAATGATCCTTTGTGGGAGTCGACTCTAAACGAAGGGAAGTCTTCTAACAAAGCAAAGTTCATATGTATGCTAGGGACTTTAAGGATCTTACTCTGAACGTGCTCAACTTGTTTGGATTACATATAGACTTTGAGATTCCAAATAATGCTCTCTTGGATTTAAGTGGATCACATCAGTTGAACCTCTAGAATCCGAGTCTTCCACGTCTGATCTCGACATGGAATCGTTATGGATTACAAAGGATTCAGGATCGTCGGTGGATGGGGTCGAGCCGTGTAACGGAAACAACTTCATGGAAGATGCATATAAAGAGGTTTGTTGAAGTTGTAGAGCAGACAGTATAGGATTTTTTTTAGATAAGTCAATTCATGGATGAAGTGAAGGACAGGACATTTTATTATACTTTCCTTGGATTTATTTTGCTTTTTTCTGAGAATTTGCTTCTGTATGTTTTCCTTGCTTGAAATCTGCATATCTCACCCAAGTTGTAGTCTTGTTCACTATACATTCATGTTATCAAAGAGAGCTTAACGGGGTAGGCCTACTTTATTTTTTTGTCTCAAAGTGATAAAACAGCTAGGGCATACATGTACATGTATGAGTTGTACTTCTATATCATTAAATGTCATTTATATGAAGATCTATGAAGCTATATAAAATTTTTGGCTTCACTGCAGAATACCCCACCACATCAGAGTAAGGGTTAGGGTTATAGGATTAGCACTAGGACCTACTCTGTAGGGTCAGGGTTAGAGTTGTCTGATGGGGTATTCTGCAGTTGTCCTGAAATCTTTGTGTGATACACGGTAGATCAAAGGTTGACGCCATACAGTCACAAGAAGGGAGTCAGGTGATTGATACTATTAGTAAGAGTTTGATATTGATTGAAGTGGTCAAGGTTATTAAGGACTTATATTTACTATATAGGATGAGATGACTGGTTCTAGCTAAGACAATGTTCTTGACCTTTATATGCCAATCAATCATTCCCGTTAATCATTGTGATGTAGCATATATAGGGCTAGGCAATCTGCATGGGCCAGGAAGTCGGTTGGGCTACCAGAAAGTTGTACAGGTAGTTGTGTCAGCCCTAATTTGGTCAGCATGCTTCAATGTAGGTTTGTACATGTATTCATGTACATTTGATTTGCAACTTAATTGTTACCTGTAGTTCTATTGGTGGTTATTTCTTGAAATATGACATTCTGATATTCAGTAATGAGTAAAGACAAAGTGAGATACATTTCTCGAAAAGGGGGATTCTTAGAAATACGTGAAAAGAGAGATATTGAGACCTGCATGTGAAAACAGAAATGTATTGGGGAAAAACCAATGGACACAGAAAAATGCAATTTGGGAGGGTGGAAAGAAAGAGAGAGAAAGAGAAAGAGAAAGAGAAAGAGAGAGAGAGAGAGAGAGAGAAAGAGAAAAAGAAAGAGTGAGAGAGAGTGAGAAAGAGAAAAGAGAAAGATAGAGCGAACAGGGATAGAGAGAGAGCGAGACAGAGACAGAGAGATGGAGAAAAAGAAAATAGAGATAGAGAAAAGAAAAGAAAAGAAACAGATAGAGAAAGAAACAAAAAAGAAAGATAGACAGAACAAGAAGAGAGAGAGAGAAAGAGAAAGAAAGAGAGAGAGAGACGCACAGCGGTTGAGAGTGGAGAGCGGTAAGTGCAAGTAGATGCGGATAGACAGACAGACCTTCAGCCAAACAGGAAGGCCCCATACTACTTTAAGATCTGATAACATTAACGTCTCAGAAGCTCGTATCTTTAGCAGCAAACGACCAGACAGCTCACTCTACTAACCCAAATCCATCATGTGAAGCAATTAAAATCCAATATGGAAGATCACACACAAACAGGAAGAGTCCCCACCCTTTTCTTAATGTTCTTTTAAGATATTGGATCAAAGGATGTAGGTCCCGAGATGAAGCTCCACTGTTCATGGGATTACCGGTACTGTAAAATATTGTGCAGGAGGCGCAATGGCTCAGTGGTAGAGCAGTGATCTCGTTACCGGGAGGTCCCGGGTTCAAAATCAAGCTGATACGCTATAGCCTTTTGGTAAGGCATTAATCCTCATTACAAAGTCCCTCCGAGAGGACTTTTTAAAGCAGTCGGTCCCCTGGCTGCTTACTTACAAGCATACACATGCTTCCTTAGCTGTCAAGTAAAACAAACAAATAAACAAACAAGCAAGCAATAGTTACTCTGTACATGAACAGATTTCTGGTACTGGGATGGAAAAAAGAAGAGTAACATAATACTGTGAACAGAGTTTAACCCCCTCCCCCCCCCCCCCCCTGCCAGAATTTTAATGCATTTAAGCCTTCTAGTCAGAATTAAAAGCCAAATTGGCTTCAAATTGTCACTATAATTCTGAGCTGGTTTAGCTTTCCTTCTACAAAGAAGCTTGAAATCCCTTGAAATTGAGATTTTATGAAGCTTCTGACAGTTCAGATCCTTGATCATAATTTAAAGATTTTTAAAAATGATTTTAAAAAAATGTTAAGATTTTTAAAAAATTGAATATTTAATACTAAATAATTTGCCAATTCTTCCACATTGGAGTGTATGAATAACTCTGCTTCTTCAAATCACTCATTTATTAACCTCAAATTTGAGCTGAAACATAACTGTATATATTAGTCACATGAGTTTGAATTGAGAGACAGTTTGACTGTTGGAAAGTGTGAATGGATGACCGGTTACGTGTTAACAAGGTGTTTCCTGGCACAGGTAGTATGTAGGCCAATTGCCACGTGGGGTATGTCAATTTTTAGTGGAATTGCCATCATACTCTTTTGTCTCTGTGGACAGTAGTGCTATTAATTCAAGGAGAAAAGTATGAATATGGTTGAGGGTAAAAATAGTCTGTGAACAAAAGTTTCTCACTACCGTATGCCTATGATCTGAATATGAAACTGTAACAGTTATGAAGTCTATCTCATGGTAGATTGCAATAAGTTGTCAAAGTTGTCTTTAACAGAGAATCTGTTTATAAAGACTCCTTTCATGATTTCCTTTGATACATGTGTAGATCTTTAACACTTCAAAGTCATGCATAAATGTTGAGTAAATTAGAATGTACGGTTTGTAAAAAAAAAAAAATCATTAAATACTTTTAACATTTTATTTTGGTCATATCTGAAGGAAGAGAGCAATTTCACCAGAGAGACTTGATTGTACAAACATTGTAGCAATCTAATTTTAATGCTATAGTAGGACAATTTTAATTTACATATTATATTAATTGTTACGTTGACTTCAATTTTTATTTTCTCATCCCTCTCTCTCTTTCTCTCTTTCTCTCTCTCTCTCTTTTAGAAAGAGAAGGATGACCTGAAGGAAGAAATGCTGAAGGAGAAAGAAGCGGCTATCCAGGAGAGGAACAAACACTGGGAGGTTGTCATAGAAACAAAACAGAAGGAATACCAAGAATCACTCCATGCTAAGGTATCTTTCAAAATGATAAAATTTTGATGATTATTTTTAAGGTTTTTAAGTAAATAAAAAATGAATGATTCACTTAATTTTGAAACATTAGTCACTGTCAAGAAAAATGGCCTCAACAGGAAATTATCTGGAATAGAACGATACACAGTATGGAAGCTTGGAATAACTTTGTGAAGAAAGAAGAAAGAACTACTTAATACAATTTCATTATTTGATTGATGTAATTCAGTTACAATTCCCTTTTTTTCAAGCATGAGGATAAGTTTTCTGTCAATTTCATCGTGTCATTGGCTTCCTTCTTCGAAATGGCATGCCATTTTCTCCTCAGAATACATTAAAAGTGTCTTCATTTTCATGTATTTTTATTGAGAGCCTGCCAAGTACACTTGCCAAAAGACGTCAGAAAGATTCATGTGATGACGCCCCTTTAAACAAATGTAGGGGCAGATAGCATTTGCTAGGTGGAGTGGATGCATGAAACATGTCAGAAATATTATATTTATTTCATTTTATTAATTAAGTTACATTAAGCACTGTTAGATGTGAACAATTCCTGTAAGTCATCTTTAATCAATTCTTGCCTCCCTCCCCCCCCCCCTGTTTTGCTTTGTCTTGTAGAAGCATGGAATACAATTATTTTTTCCCCTTTTTTTTCTGATTCATCATATGTCTAGACTCAAAATCAAAACGTGCCCAGCAGATTTGTACTTGTCTTCCAAAGTTATGTCCAGTGAGATATCTCTGACTTGTTACTTCTGTCTTTGCTTAATTTAATAATACTCAACCCTCTCATTAAGCCTCACTGTATTAGAGATTTTTCTCAGCTATTTTTTCTTCTTCAGTTATCGCCTTTTTTTTGTTGGGGGGGGGGGAGGGTCTTTGTTGCTCTTTGTCTCATTATGCCTTCTCTAGGGTCTGTCATATTTTTGAAAAATCTCGAGCTGTTGCTGCATAGTTGTATTGTCTCTCCCTTCCTGTCTATCTTTCTGTCATATTCTTTTCCTTTTTCATACTTTTTCTCTTCATTTTTTCTTTCTTTCTTTCTTTCTTTCTTTCTTTCTCTTACCCCCCTTCTCTCTCTCTCTCTCTCTCTCTCTCTTTATTATCTTTTCCCCTCAATCTATCTACAGATTTATTCTCTTTTTTCTTCTGTAAAAGGTATTTGTCTCTTTTAACTTTGGGTATTATCTTTCTATTCATCTGTCTGTCTCTGTCCCATTCTTTCTCAGTTCCTCTATTTCTTTCACCCTTTTTTCTCTTGTTCTCTCTCTCTCTCTCTCTATCTCTTTCTCTTTCTCTTTCTCTCTCTCTCTCTCTCTTTCTTTCTCTCTCACTCTCTCTCTCTCTCCCTCTCCCTCTCTCTCTCTCTCTCCCCCCCTCTCTCTCCCTTTCTTTCTTTGTCTCCTTCAACTCTCCATGTCTCAACACCCAATAACTGAACATACGTCACTCGTGACATTCTCCCTGACATTTACCAAAAATTGCTGAACTCCTCGATTAGCTAGCGCCAATCAGCTGTTTACGTACAAGGCTTGGCTGTGTTTTCATATTTTAGCTACATGTACTATAAATAAGACCAAATACATTTTTGGATACCAGACTAATAAAGCAGTGTTTGTAAACACATCAGACAGGTTGCGGTAGAAGGATGATTAAGCCAGAAATTTCTGAGTCTACATGTTTATGTATAAAAGCATATCAAGGATTATAAACACACAGAGGAAATATGTTACCTCTACACAATCAAATTACGGGAGATAGATAGATAGAGAGAGAAAGAGAGAGAGAGAGAGAGAGAGAGAGAGAAAGAAAGAGAAAGGAAAAAGAAGAGAATAATAGCAACACTAAAATGAGACAATATGACCCGGCCCTCCTTCAGAATATATCACACCGCCTCATTTGATGACCTTCATGAACAAAAGAAATTGTTGGAATTGCCTATCCCCTGCACCAGTGTCCTACATTAATTAGCTACTTTTTCCTTTTTTTTTTCTTCTTCCAGTTGTTGTATATATTGTGCAATTACGAACAATTGCCACTTCAGTTTATCCAGGGATAATTGGTGACAAATAGTCGTACCAGCAGTCCCTGTAAGAAGAGCCCCAAATACAATTACATGACTGTATAAGCCACTCATAATTTTTATTATTGATATACATGTACTATTTTTGCAATTTTAAGTTATAGGGGGCTGCAATCTACAAGCCCAGCTTTTCAGCAATATATATGACCAACCTGTTTTATATGCCTGTTGTACACTAGACCAATTAAAAATATATTGTTAAGTTTCATTGTTTTACTACTGTACAGTGTATGTACAATGCAATCTCATGTACTTAATTTTATTTTGTTGGAAATGGAAATATAAGAAAAAAAAGGGAAAAAAGTGGTTTGTTTCAAATTGATCCACACTACTCTAATGCTTCATACTGCAGTCCTAACCATGTATGTGTGTAATTCGTGTAGAACCAACTTCACCTGAAGTGTGACCTTAAGAGACCAAGATCATATTGTCACATGATCTGTCTCACTCCTGGTCTCGCGGCGCAGGAAGCCTTCCCCAATCAAGTGTCAAAGAGAAGGCGTTATTGCATGCCTCGTTTACCGCTAGTTGACTGAATGATGAAGATCCTGCGATTGGTCAGGAAGAGCTACTTAGGAGTGGATTAAAGTTCAATTTTTCTTCAAGGTATCGTGATTTATGAATTGTTTTTCCTCATGTTTGTTAGGCAACTGAGGAGGCAGTGTAAAATTCTTCTTTAACCCTTTGCCCACAGGGATCAGGGCCCTGTTTCACAAAACTTGTCATCAGTGACAACTGATAGTTTTTGTTATAAGCTACTGAAATCCTTGCATCTGATTGGCTGAGAGCAAATTTGACACTGATTTTTGACATTTGCCATTGAAAAAAGGCTTTGTGAAACAGGTCCCAAATGGTTCCTGAACTAAGCCTATGGGAATGACAGAATTCAGTGGTCCATGGGTTAAATCAAAGCATTTAGTAGCAATATAGTTTGTCATGACCTCCTAAAGCAGTTGCCCAGCTTTGATTAAATTAAAACCTTGCCTCTACGAAGATCGATGTATGAATAGAGAATCGATGTATTGAAGAAAAAAAATCAATCGGTACATTAATGAACTATTCATTAAGTGAATTCAACAGTTGAAACACTTGTTTGATTATGCATAATGGTGTAGAGAAGAATCAAGGCCATAGTACACACTCTTGTCTTTGTGGATAAACATATTTTCTGACAAAAATTTCAAGTTCTTTTTTAAGTGAAAGAGATTATCTAGATACATGTAGTATATATAGATGTATGTAAGTGTGTAGAGATCTAAGTTAATAGTTTTGGTTAGGTGCAGTAGCAACTCCCTCTCCATAAAGCAAGAATAGAATAAAAAGTGAATGTTAGAATTCAATTACATGAAAAATAAGGGAGAATAATTTATGCGATTATATAATTATTTATATTAATATTTGTAAATTATATTGAAATATCATTTGGAGTGGACTAAAAGATGATTATTAGTTATTATTATTATTATTCCTACTGTTTCCAATTCACTTTCTTTGTACATGTATTATGCATGTACACTACATTCCCCTTGTAAATGTGATGTTAATTGTGTTTTTCGTAACTCAAGAATAAGAGTGGACCGGTTGAATTAGAGCTTTATTGAATACTTTTAGATTTAAGCTTTAATATGTCACATTCTCAAGAAACATGAATAGGGAAATATCAATTTTCACATACTTGACAAACTACAAAACTTGGCAAGGGTATGAATAATTCAGTTCTTAACTGTATGTACATGTAGTGCACGTGGTTTGGTTTAACCCCTTCTGAAATTCAGATAAACATGATTTAAAATGACCCCGTGATTTCCTCCTAATTTCCCTTTTCTTTTCCCTCACCCCAGCTCAAGCAATTTCCTTCAACCTCCACACATCAGCAAAAGAGAGGATGCCCAAAATAGAAATTTAGCGATCTTTATCGGTGAAGATCATTTTAGGAGAAATGCCACGCTTAACAAGGCAGTTTCTCACCAGTGACAGTGTAAAATTGTGTAAGGTTCAATGCACATCACTTTCAAGTTTCTCAGAGAGAACTTTGAACTCTGTCATATGAGCTTCATAGTGAACAACTTAATGGCGTTTTTGTAATGAGCCATGCTTAGAAATTTCACTTTGAGAACATTTATTCATTCACCTTGTCACGTTGTCAACATCTTTATTTTATTTTATTTATCGAAGAAATACCATAGCCCGTTAATAGCTTGAACTAGTAATATGTATGTGCATGTAAGTTTTTAGTATTCCACCTGTTGGATGTGATTTAATAATAATAATAATAATGTAACTTATATCGCGCCAAATCCACTCTGTGGAGTGCTCAAGGCGCGTGTAAACAGGAAAAAAGATCAAGACTTGAAAAGAAATGTTTTGAGATGAGTTTTGAAAGAATCAGAGGATAAACATTTTTTGATGTCTTCAGGAAGGCCATTCCATAATTTAGGACTAGAGTATGCAAAAGATCTTTCCCCCCACGTTTTGGTAATTTTGGGGGTTACAAGAAAATTGGAAGTGGATGAGCGTAGAGGTCTTGCAGGAGTGTAGTTTTGGATTAGAGAGATAAGGTATTGAGGAGCAGAGCCGTGAACGCAATGAAAGGTGAGCAACAAAATTTTGAAAACAATGCGATCTTTTACTGGGAGCCAGTGTAGCGACTGCAAAACTGGGGAAATGTGGGTACGCTTGGTGGTCAGAGAAACAATACGAGCTGCAGCGTTTTGATTTTTGATTTGATTTTGTCACAATGTGCATTTTCCATAGTCTCGTGCCCAGGTTAGTTGGGGCTTATTATGTAGTCTGCAAGAGCGTATGATCCGTTATCAACTCATCAAGTGTTGAAGAAAGGGACACGAAGGATTAAAAGTTTGTTTTGGTAGAACATGCTGTCAGTGATTTTATGTAATCTCATCATAAAGTGAAGGGCTACGTTGACATTTAGGTGCAATCGATGATCTCAGTGGGAAATGGTTAATCAGTGTTTGACGCGTGATCTGATCAACTTGATGAAGGTGTTAATGAAAGCCATGCTGATCAATCAACAAATGAGTTACATGTATTAGTCCATGACGAGTTTGGAGACCTTTCAGAAGTTTTTTCTCTTTTGAATCTTAAGGTTCTTGAGGACTGTATAAATGTTAGTTTTACCCCACTCACTGTGCCCCTTCCCCACCATCCCCTTGACTCCCCCTCTCCCACTCCCCTCCCCTCCCCCTCCTCTCTCTCTCTCTCTCTCTCTCCCCTCTCTCTCTCTCTCTCTCTCTTTGCCCTCCTCTGTCTCTGATTGAGGGTAGATCCTGCTCTTTTTTGTGAAGTATATTGTACTTTTATGTCGATCATTTCACAAAGTATGGCCTATAAAAAGAGTTAAGCTTTGCAAAAATAGAACGTAGCTAAGCTAGCTATAGCAATTCAATGAATACAATTATGATTGCAAATGTTATTTGAATCTAATGCCTTGTATCCTGCAATTTACAGGAACATTTGTTTGCATGATTATTGTGTACTTTCTTATTGTACATACTAGTGCATATACTCACACAGGTTTCCTTGTTTTTGTTTCTTTTAATTCAGTGACATTTGACATGTTACAGGGTGACAAAAAAGATGGTTTTTGACAGAGGCTCCTCTCAGTATGATGCACTTGATATTTATCTTGATTCATCTCTTCTTTATCATTTTTTCCTCCTGTTTAGGATCGTGAGCATGAGTTGGCATTGCAGAGACACACAGAAGAACAGCAGAGGATAGTCAAGGAGAAGGAAGCTGAGATGATGATGGCTATTGAGGAAAGAGAACTTCAGAAGATGGCTGCCGTCAGCGCTCAGGATAATCAGAAAGATGAACTTCAGAGAATCATTGATTCCATGAAATCTGTAAGTAATGCATCAGAAAATAATATTATGATACTGTAATTTGAAATGCACTAAAAGTTAGATGCTGCTTATAAGTATCGGCTTGCATGATGATGTAGATATATAGTAGGTTTACGGTTGCACCAAGTGAGAGAGAGGGGGAGGATTGGGGAGTCCTGAAAAGTCCTGAGCCATTTCTACTATCCATTCTCTCCAACCGGCGCTATACAGAAGTTCTCCATAGACCTATTACATGTAGCTCAAGAAAGATTACCAACAGTCTTTTTCAGGACTACAAACACACTCAAGAAAGAAATATTACTGACAATCCTTTTCAGGACTCCTCAATCCTCCCCCTCTCTCTCTCTCTCTCTCACTTGGCCGGTGCAACCGTAAACCTACTGTATATACACAAAAAGTTGTAAAGCGGAAGCTGTGTTAAAAAAACTCTCAAAGGAGATGAAGAAAATTTGTCTTTATAGCCAGGTGGTTTTGATTCTCATGTTCCTTTAGTTATGCCCCACATGTGTACTAAATTCTCAAGGAGCATGTGTACATGTGTAGTTCATACACTGCTGCATCATGGAAAGACATGTGTTTTGTATATTGTAGCGCAGTACAGTGTTCCATTTAATCAAATTTCATCCGGCCCCACTCTACTATAACATCTATGGTCTTGTAAGCATGAGTAATCTGTTTACTTTGCTACTTTTAATCCCTGCATATGCTTATCAGAAAAACTAGGTAATGAGAATAATTTACCTAATAAAATAAGCTTGATGACCTCAATTAAAATCCATATTAATTGAGTGGAAATCCTCATTTGTTGGATCCGTACCTTAGTCCATCATTCACGAGATTAATCTCTGCCGCTGACCTCTAATTAGGACACTATGAAAGACTAGTGAATGCAAGGTCAGTGAGCTAGTTTGTTCAATGACCCAGGGAGAGGAAATACTGCTTTTGAAAAATTGGAGAGCCATTTTTAGCAAGAAATATTGATGCATGTGTAGTAATGTTCAGCGACCAAGGTAGGGTAAGTACATTTGTGAGATTGATCATCTAGAACACTTCAAATCATGCATGAAAACTTACAGGTGTTTCTGCAAATTTGAAAATACCAACTTCATTGGAGGAGCATGTGCCTTTTTTTTTTCTAAATAGGAAAGATATGGTGCAATATAATATATCATCATCATCATCAAATTCAGCATACTCCATGTGTTGATGTACATGTACTACTGTATCCAGATGAATGTTGCCTGTACCTTCATTTGAGGGGGATGCAGGGATTTTCACAAACCTCACTCTCAGATGACGATGCTCTTCGGTTAATTCTTTCTCTGTTGCAGGAGTAGTAAGAGCGGGGCATCGTTTCATGAAACCATCATAAGAGCAATTGGAGCAGGATTCTAAAAGGAAAAACATAAGGCAGATGCTAACTCCATTGTACAATGTAATTGAGTAGATCCCTGCTCACAGAATATACCCTTTTCTCTTATCTTGTCTTCTCATGTCTGGCCACAGGAGAAGCTAGAGCAGGATTCTGAATTACAGCAGTTACAGGAAAAATACAAGGTTGACACCAAGGAGCTGAGAGATAAGATTGAGGACATCGTCACCAGGAGCAAGGCAGTCATCGCCAAGCTCAGAGCACAGCAGAGCGAGGGGACTCAAGATCTTAACCAGAAACACGAGGAAGAGATGGCCAACAAAATACAGGAGCTTACACAGGTACTGAACACACTACAGTCAAACCTGCTTTAGTGACCACCTGTCTACAAAGGCCACATTTGTTGTTTCCCTTGAAAATCGTTTGTCATTGAATTATGTACTAAAGGAACCTGTCTACAAAGGCCACCTGTCTACAAAGGCCACTTTCTGTGTTTCCCTTGGGTGGTCGCTATGGACAGGTTTGACTGTATTTATAGTTTTTGTGTCAAAATCCATTTGCTCAAGATAGGTGTATTGTCAATTTCTTTTGGTTTGATTACCTCCCAAGACGTTTCAATACACATGGTGTACAGGTTATGGTAAACCTCTAGAGAATACTGCTGTGGCAACATAAATGACATTAGTGTAGTTACATTTGTGCATTTAATCACACACAGAATAAGTGGGTATATATGTTGGATCTTTTCTTGGGCACAGTTCCTTTTTTCCTGCCCGAATTGCCATTCACTTATGGTTTTTCTTTTGCTGCATCAGCTTTTTAAGGTTGATTCCTGCATCATTCGTGAATAAGGCTTACATTGAATATTGATGATAGCCTTTCTCCTACGTGTATGCCACACAATCACATGGTCCAAACAAGAGGGTTCCTTACATGTACATGTAGATGCAAAAGGAATTACTGTGGAGCAGGGGGTGTTTCACAAAGATCCCAAGTCGAACTTAACTCTAAGTTCGACTTAAAAATTATGGAGAGCCATTAGTAGCCTTAAAATAAAATGTGTTCAAAAGCAAAAATTGAAGTATTTCAGACTCTTTTATAGTTTCCACATCAAGGACATGAAATCTCATTGATAATAGAAAATATGAATGATTTGATTCAACATTTTATACCTTTTAAAATAACTTTTACAAAATATTTTCAAAGATGCTAACAGCTTTTCATAATTGTTAAGTCGAACTTAGAGATAAGTTCAACTGAGGATCTTTGTGAAACACCCCTGTGATGTATGTTGATTGATTTTACTTTCTACCAAGGTGTCATGTGTTTCTTTGAGTTGAACATAGGAACTATGTTTACAAAGTACTTTTAGCAAAACAGAATTCCAATCTACATGTACATGTACCTGGACATACTGGGGGTGTTTCATAAAGCTGTTCGTAAAATTACACATGACTTTACGAATGACTTAAATATGAAAAGCTAAATGGGGTGCTCAAATAATTTCTAACTACATCAACTAAAGTTGAACTTTACAATTATAGATTAACATCCCTATTATAACAAACATTTTTAATGTAAAATATTTTTTGCCGTAATTTAATAGAGGTAATAGGAAATATAATCACACTTTGTTATAACATCAGGAAACACTTTGGGCATCCTATCTGGCACTTCATATTCAAGTCGTACGTAAAGTCATGCGTTACTTTACGCACAGCTTTATAAAACACCCCTCTGGGCATAAAAAAAAGGATTGTTCTGCAGCACGTGTCTGCAATGTGCTTCAGTCTGTAAGTTGACTTATGAGTTGATTGAGGTGAGAAAGAGTTCAGTTGATCTCCTTCATTTCCTCTCTCTCCCTCTTGGGAGCGTAGGAACTACGTTGAGGAACTACAGTACACACTAGATCTAACAATCGGAGCTTGAAACAATGTAAATTTAGTCAGATTGCTCTGCTATGGCAGATATAATTGCAGGTGTTAATGTTTCATTTCATTCTCCATAAAAAAAAATTATTAACATATTAACATACTAACATGATATAAAGATAAAAGATTGATTACAAGAAAATTACAAAGGGAAAGAGCAAACAAAATTTTATGGGAATGTAGGGTTAACAAAAAGGGCAATTGGCCTTATGAATGTCAACCGCTGCATGCACAGTGTACATCCTCTATCTGAAAGCATCCATGATCTTAAAGGGAAAGTCCACCCCAAAAATAAGTTTGTTTAGATAGAGGCAGAATAATAAGAAAATCAGGTGAGTAAAAGTTTGAGCAAATTCTGAATGAAAATAAGAAAGTTATGAATTATTGAAGTTGTGATCAATCAAATACAAATTGGCAACTCTGTGACTTATCATACGAGCTCTCCTTCATTTGCTTTGTGCATAATATTCCATAAATCATGTTTTCTTCGTTATTGATGACGGAATATATATTTGTTCCTTGCAGGGGGAGTATAGAAACATATTTGCAATTATTATATTTAGGGTGCATGTATGGTTGAAATTTTTCTTGAGGGAAAATGAAAATTTTAGATTTTTTTAGTACTGAGCAAATGGAAGTTGAGCTCGCATGATACGTCATAGAGTTGCCAATTTGTGTTTGATTGATCACAACTTCAAAAATCCTAACTTCCTTATTTTTAATCGGAATTTGCTCAAACTTTCACTGACTTGTTTCTCTCATTTTTCTACTCCTATTAAAACTAACTTAATTTCAGGGTGGACTTTCCCTTTAATAATGACAATAATAATAGTTAAACGTTTTGTATGGCGCATTACACCCTAGCATAATTGCATGTCTCTATGGGCCTAATACAGAACAGAATCCAGTAGGAGTGGAAATGGTGCACTGGGTTAATAATTATGAGATTTTACAAATCTGGAATCTTGATCTTGAAACAATGAATGTGCTTTGAGTTTAATACTGTACTGAGATGTAATGGCTTTTATCATCTTTATTTCCTGCTTGTCCCCCTTAGGAGCATAGGAACTACGTCGAGGAACTGAGACAACAGCACCAGGAAGCCTTTGAAGCTGCCAATGTGGAATCAGAGAAACTCAACAAACAACAGGTATGTAGATATGACACTTAACTTGGTATCCCTCTATTAGTAATGTACACCTGCCATTAACAATTTCTTTATTGTAGGATACAGAGTCATTGTTACTTGAGCATCTGTCATACAACCCCAACAGAAAACATTTCAACCAAGTTCATGATCTTGGCCAACACTAATTCCTGTAACCCATAGAATTAATTTTCTGTCTGTTGAAGATTCCTTAGAGTGTTTTACCTGTAATTCATTCATACAGTTATCTCAAGTATTTCTATTGTCTCTTTATTTTCAAAGATGAATGATTTGAAGCAGAACGAGGAGAAAGTCGTTCAGGAGAAAGTGGATCAACTTCAGAGTCTTGCCGGAAAAGCTCAGAACATGAAGCAAAGGATTCAGGTATAGAACATGATTATTACGAAGAATTACTCAAACCAAGTGCAGATTTTGACAAGTACATGTACATGTAATGCGTACATAATTATAGGAAACCACTGAGAGGTCATGACTAAAAAGCAACTTCGTAACAAATTTCTATTAGGCTGATAGAAAGATGCAATCCTGCTTGGGGAAAGCTCCACATTGCATACTATTTCTTTATTAATGCATTCATCAAGACTCAACAAATTAATTCATTAGATGTACTACAGCATATAGGTACATAGTAAATATTGACTTCTAAGCACTACACATAAATACACCTTTCTTGAAAGTGCATTTACATTTAAAGTTCAACTAATGAACTCTTATTTTTCTTGATTTCAAAGAGAACATCAATATTTGTTCCTCTCTCTTACAGGATCTCCAAGCACAGAAGAAAGAGATGGAGGCGAAGATTGAAGAACTCGATTCAAAGCTGGCCCAAGAATCTGACAATCACACCAAGATACTTGAAGAGAAAGACAGATCATTGGAGAAGATAACCCAAGACCTTGCCATAGTCAATCAAAAGAACCAGACTCTAGAAGAAGAGCTTGCTGCTAAGAGGAAGGAGATGGATTCCAGTAGTACAGAACTCTCTGAAATGTTGGAAGAGGAGCGTAAAGCAAAGGAGGAGAGAGATGTAGATATTGAGAAATTGAGGCAAGAGGTGGAAGAGATGAAGCAGAAATCTGATTCCTTTTTGCGAGAGATTGAAGCTAAGAACGCGGAACATGAGAACAAGATCAGTGAGTATGAACAGAAGATGACATTCCAGGAGGAGAACCATGAGAAAGAGTTGAGTCGGAGGTTGGAGGCCCTGGAGGTCCAGAAGAACAGTTCTGTCAACGAGGTCTCTGCGGACCTTGGGAAGAAGCTGGAGGAGGCTAACGAGTCTCTGGGTACAAAGGAAAAGGTCGTTCAAGATCTGCAGCTCAGAGAGAAGGAGCTTCAGACGGCGATGGACTCGCTGAAGAATAAACTTGAAGGAGATCTCAACTCTGCCAACGAGATGATCCAACAGGAGCGACAGAGGCATGAGGAACTGGTTGGGCAGCTTAGGAACAGTGTTCAGGAGCTTACAGAAAGCAACAAGAAGTGCTCTGATGAAATCAAGGAGTTGGAGCGAGTAGGAGCAGAGAAGGATGTTGCCCTTGAGAAACTAACAGAGACTGTGGCTACGTTGACTCAGAATGCAGAAGACTTGCAGAGACAGCTCGCAGAGAATGTTGCTAAGGTCCAAGAGGGGGTTCAGAAGGGAGAAGAGGCAGTAGCAAAACTTCAAGAAGAGCTGTCTGGATCAAAGGCAACACTAGAATGCAAGGAAAAGGAAGTCGTTGAGACAAAAGCTACACTTGAAACGAATTTGAAGGAGAAAGATGATGAATTGAATGCTGCAAAGGCAAAGGCAGATGATGTCAATGCAGAACTTGAAGATACCAGAAAATCATTAGTTGATGTAGAACTTAATCTCACAAAGACATCAGAATCTAATATGAATCTTGAAAACAGAGTAAGAACACTTGAGGAGTCCATTGCCAGGAAGGAGGAAGAACAACAAGAGCTGAATGCCAAGAAGGATAGTGATTTTGAGGAAAGGTTGCAAACAGAGAGGGAAAACCATGAAAAAGATGTAGCCAGAAGGGTAGAGGCTTGGGAAGCCCAAACACAGAGCTCCGTCGGTGAAGTGGCCCAGGAGTTGGGTAGGAAGCTACAGGAGGCAAACGATATGATCAGTCACCTCGAAAATGACATTGCTGATTTGAAAGAAAAGGAACAGTCACTAGCATCTTCACTAGAAGAAAATCAAAGCAAGCATGCAGCATTTGTATCAGATATGGAAATCAAGGAAACTGACCTCAAGTCCAAAGTAGAACAGCTTCAGAAACAGCATGAGGATTCCTTATCGCTTCTGGAAAATAAAGAAAAGGAAATCAGTAATAATCTTGCAGCAATAAAGGAGAAGGAAGCTGAGTTCCATGAACGCAAGCTTCGGGAGAATGAACTGATTGCCCTGGTTGAGAATGCAAAGTCTGAAGGACAGAGTCAAGTTGAGGTTGTGAGCAAGGAAATTGAAAACTTGCAGCAGCAGGTCTCTGAGAAAGATACCTTGTTGCTCCAGAAGTCTCAATCCCTGGAAACGGAGGTCAGTGCTAAAAATAAGGAGATTCTGTCTCTACATGAAGAGATGAATGCCTTGACTGAAGAAAAGGCAGGACTAAACCAGAAGATGGATGAGTTGTCAAAGTTAGAGGGAGAGAGAGTTCTTGAGATAGAGAGTCTTCAGGCAACTTCACTTAGGAAGGATGAGGAGATAGGGAGCCTCAAGGACGCCATACAGGACAGGATTAGACATGATGAGAAGGTTGCTACCCAAGTCCAGGAATTGAATCAGCAAAACACCATGCAAAATGATGTTGTGGAGTCCATGCGCAAAGAACTGAGAGAAGCAGTGGAACAGAAAGACTCCGAGCTACAAAGGCTGACTGATGAATTTACACAAAAAGAGCAGTCTTTGAAAGACAGTCACAAAACACACATTGTTGACTTTCAAGAGAAGGTGAAAAGTAAGCTTGCCACCTTACGTAAAGAACAGGCGGAAGCTATTCTGGCAAAAAATGTAGGGATTGAAGGGATGAAAGCCGAAATGGATTGTATGCAAGCAAGCTTCGATGAGGAGAAGGAAGAACTGAAAAGGAAAACAGAACAGAAGTTGACAGAATTAGAAGAAAAGATACAGGAAACTGTGGAGAAGTGCCAGAGGAGAGAGGCTGAACTACAAGAGCATCTTGGAGCCCAACAGACCCAACATGAGGAGGAGGTGGAGAAATCAAGGAGAGATCATGAAGCCATGCTCCAGGAGAAGGAGACTTCGTTCCAGGAGCAGCTGTCAGGTCTCCTGAATGAGAAGCATGTAGGGATTGAGGAGGTCACCATCCAGATGCAAGCAAGTCACCAGGAACAGCTGGACAGGATGAAGAATGAGATCGAGGAGAAACAGAAGGAACTTGAACGGGTCAAGGAAGAAGGTGTACTGAAGGAGAACAAGCTGAAAGAACAGTCGGGTCGGAAGTTGAAGGAGCTCAAGGAACAAGCCAAAGCTAAGATTGCCAAAGTGATTGCAACTCAGAAAGAGGAAACAGAATCTGTCAGGGAAGATCTAGAAAAACAATTAGCTGCTGCATCAACAGAATTGAGCTCTGTGCAAGAACAGAGGAAGGAGGAGGTTGACAAACTCAACTTAGAGAGGACTGAGCAATCAGATAAAATTCAACAATTGGAAATGCAATATGCTCAATTGCAAGAAGAACTTTCTAGTACACAAGAACAGTCAAAATCTACTGCAGAAGCACACAAAGAAGAATATCAGAAACTGAGAGAGGAGCATGAAAAGCAACTTAAAGAACTGGAAGAGTCAGTTTCAAAGCAAGTGCAAATTGTGTCTGGTAATGAAAAGCACCATGAAGAAATCATACACAATCTTGAGAGTCAGCATTCTGCAGAGATGTCCGCCAAGGATAAAGAACAGAAGAGCAGTCATGAAGAACTAGAGCATCAGCATTTTGAGATGATGGAGTCCATGCAGAAGCAGTTTGAAGAGACTCTCCAGACTGTGAAGGCAGAGAAGGCTTCCCTGAAGGAACAGCTTGACAAATCTGATGAATACAGGTCACAGGCCAACGACCTGGTGGACAGTAACCTTGATCTACAGGTCAAGCTGAAGGCATCTGAAGACCAGATCCAACTGATGGAGCGAGAGATCCAGGACTTGACGACATCCTCCAAGAAACGGTTGAATGACCTGGAAGAGGAGAAGCGGGAGGTGGGGCGGTTGCTCCTGCTGAGAGAGGAAGCCGTTGCCCAGGGAGACAGCAGGATGCAGGAGTTAGAGGATGAGGTCAGCACCCTCCAGGAATCCGCACAATCAGACACCAAGGCCAAGCTGGCTGAGCTGAAGAAGAAGGCAGAGGCCAAGTTGGTCCAAATCAAGAACCAGTTCTCTCAGGACCTGTCCAACAGGCAGAAGGAGATGGAGGAAGCCATGGACATGAAGGAGGCAGACTTTGCTGAAGCTTTGAGACGGAAGGAGAGTGAAGTCGAGGAGATGATGGCGAGGGCAGCAAGCTTGGACAGACAGATGGTTGCCATGGAGATGACCAATGAGCAGACTGTCTCGAGTCTCATGAAGGAGATTGGGGATCTTAGAGCTCAGATGCACGAGGAAAGGGCCTCAGCTGACATAATGGTATGATCGCAAATTTAACAGGATATTAAATGTTACTGTTACCAATTAGAATATGAATCAGTAATGAAAATAATACAAGAATATGCCACTTTTTCATAAACTTAATGTCAAAAGAGGAATCATTTTGCCAATAAGGAAACAACAAAAAAAGGTCCTTATTCATCAATTTGAAATATACTAAAAAAATACTGCTAAAGCAACCACCTGTATAAAAAGACCACATTATTAAAAACTTCTCCTGAAGAATGATATACAATAAAACAGTATTAAAACCTGCACATGAAGACCACCTGCCTATAACTACCAATTTCCTTGCCCCCTTGAGTGGTCTTTATATACGGGTTCCACTGTAATGCTCATTAAGGAGGTATTAAATGCATCGTTTAACAATGTTAAATCTGAGATGCATGGCCCTACATGTTATCAATGTCTGTGATGTGCTGTAATATTAAATCCCTAAAAATATTGCACTTCAAAATGATCATAAAGTGCCTCAAAAAAGAAAAATCTTTGAGTGACCAGTTTTACCATACTTATTTGCCCCAATAGACTGTAGTGTTATAAAAACTGTTAGGAAAAACGAAAAAATGACATTTCGATTTCCAATCGTATATATCTTGATAATCAGACAGCTTGTAAAAGTCATGGGATTCCTGAATGACCTAAAGGTTGATTATGATTGCAGCATGAGCTAAATCACGGATTTTGTTTCAGAATCTAAGACAATGTTACTAAGTCACTTTAAAGGAATGTCTCTCCCCCCCCCCCCCCCTCCTCCTCACCAGGTGGTAGAAGCCAGAGAGCTGGTGGAGATGGAGGTCACACAGCAGGTGGAATCTCAGGTCACAGCTGTGAGGGAGTCTCTCCAAGGAGCAGAGGTACAGCACAAGGAAGAGATTGAGAAGAGGAGCAAAGAGGTGGAGGATCTCAGGACCAGCTGCAAGGAGATGGAGAGGAAAATAGAAGCAATGAGGTAAAGAGTGTGCTTTTTGTACTGTGATGAGACCATTCCTATTTTGTAGGAATGATTCCTTTATTTGTCTTCAAGCTTTTGTTTTGAACCCTAGATTCTACTTTTTTATGAAATATTCTGTGTGAAAGTATACAAAATAGACTGAATTCCTAATATTGCCTAGAGAGAAATTTCTAATTTTTGCTGTGAAAGGTTGGCAGGTATGCAAATATTCATATACAATGTGAGCGTTAATAGACCAGTTTGTAGTTAGCACAAGGTTCAGATGACCCCAATTATCCACAGATCTTTTAAACATAGATAAATCCCACTTTGTGCCTTTTGAAATAATCACAGCTTTAAAGTCATGGAGGTGATTCTTTGTTTGCCCTTTCGAAAGGATTACTTCCACCTGTGTTTAATAGAATGTATCACAGGTGCATGCATGAATAATGATTACAAAACTTTTGTGAGCATGTATCCAGTATTAGTCTCAGTGGGTTTTACAATTTTATACAAGTGACCTGCGCATGCACAGATTGTATCTACGAACTGGTCTGTTACAGTGATCTTTGATGTTTGTCTTTATAGTGAGGACCACAAGTCTGAAGTGACCGAGCTCACCCTGATGCAGGAGCGCACACTAAGCAACCTGCAGAAGGAGCAGGAGGAACAGATCACCAGGAAGGAGGAGGAACTCAACTCAAACCTCAAGAAGATCCTCAGAGAAATGAATATCAAGATGGCCGAGAAGGAGAAAGAGATGGATACCATGATGAGGGCAGCAGTCAGTGAGTAACATTTTCCTGACCCCTACTGGGCCGCAGTTTTTATTTAAAGCGGGACTGCACTACTTGTAGCTACTTGCGCCCTCTGTATAGCAGACAATGCCTAAGTGGTACCCGTTGGTACCCCATGATCCCCTTTTTCTTATTTTTATTGAGAGCTGATTCGATAAGATAACCACCTGTCAGGGACCATGCAGGGAGGTCTAATCCCTCCTGGCCAAACTAGTGTAGACATGCTTTAATATTTGTCATAAATGAATTTGTAACAGTTAAAAATTCAAATTGAAATGCTGCTTCATTTTATTAATTGGGCATAATGTACCTTCCATGGATATAGACCTGATGACATTATACATGTACTTGTATTGTTAACTGTTGAATGATTGTGAATGGCTTATCTTTCTGGATGAAAAACAAAAGCCTTCTTTAATAGTCCATTTCATTCACCATCCCTACCTTTTGAGATCAATATCAATCGCAACTATGTACATAAGAAATAGAGGATTTCAAACTTGCGATCAATTAGAGGACTTGCAATTGATTTGGATCTATCGCAACTCTTGATAAGACGGCCCTGTACTCTACTTTATCCTTAATTTTCTTTACTTGTGATGTGCAGATAAAGGTCAGACCATTGAAGAGAGGATGGAGAGGGAGCACATGCAGATCACCCGTGAGCTGCAGGTTCAGCTAGATGAACAGTCCGGAGAACTAGAGACGATCAGCGAGAAATATGAAGAACAGCTCAGCGTAAGTTCATGAGGGTGACGATGATGAGGAGGAGGAGGAGTAGTAGGGTGGTGGTGGTGGTGGTGGTGATGATGGTAGTAGTGGTGGTGATGGTGGTGATGATGGTGATTGTGATGATTTTGATAATGGTGATGCTGGTGATGATGATGTTGGTGTTGATGTTGATGAGTTGCAGGTTCAGCTAGATGAACAGTCCGGAGAACTAGAGACAATCAGTGAGAAATATGAGGAACAGCTCAGCTTAAGTTCATGAGCGTGGTGGGGAGGGGGTGGTGGTGGTGGTGGTGGTGGTGGTGGTGGTGGTGGTGGTGATGATGATGATGATGGTGAAAAGCTGTAAATTTGATAAACAATTTGATGACGGTGCCTTATGAAGAGTACATCTACATGACATGTCCATTATATTAATGAAATATGGAAGCTTGACTTCTCATATTCTGCATGCTCAGGATATACATACATCCATACGTATTGATGTTTATATAGCACCTTTACATAAACATGCTCAAAGCGCTTTACATTAGTAAATAAAACAGAATACTTATTTTGCTCTCCATGATTATCTGTTTTCCAGGTTAAGAAGGAGGAGAAGGACAAGATGCGAGCAGAGTATGACGAGCGGATATCATCCATGAACATCGACCACCAGGCTGAGATCAATGAGATGGAGTTCCGTGTAGAGCATCAGGAGAGTCAGCATCAGAATGAGCTGTCAGATTTAGAGGCCAGGCTTAGGAACGAGATGGAAGATGTGAAGGCTAAACTTCAAGAGGAGATTGCTATCATGCAACAGGTTTGTGATAAGACTGTTAGTCGTGAGAGTGATGGAATTATACATGTATGGATGGATAAATAGAAAGAAAGATGAATAAATGGAGGGATGTGCGCGTGGAAGGGCTGATCAAAGGGAAAATCAGACTTGGAAGCGAGGCTTAGGAAAGAAATGGAAGATGTCAAGCCTTAAATTCAAAGGAGATTGCCGTAGTTAGTTAATTAATTGTCTGACTTAGTGATTGGTTTGATGAGTGGCTGATTGATTGATCAACTGAAAGATTGATAACACTATTGATGGATCGACTGATAGGGTTGGTTGATTGATTGATGGATGAATGGATTTATTGATAAAAATCAAATATGTGTGTGTCATGAACGTACATGTTCGTAGTAGCACTGTTAATTTGTTTTTCTTCTTATTTCTTGTTTTGTTCTTGTAGGTAAGCCTTCCTACTAGTCTTCACTACTTAGACCCAGTCTCTATGTCACAGAGTGATGGGGAAGGTTTAACAAGTCATGACATTGAACTTCAGAATGTCCAGTTACAGGTAAGTTCAATTTCAAGTTCAAATTTTATTTATCTTTCTTTCATAACACACATTACAAATATGACATGAATATAACAAGTTGACAGAATATGGCGTTACAATAGAATTACGAGGTGACCTTGGTTGAAAGCAGGGCTTGTGTAATTAAGGTCCCTCATGAGTAGCTTATGAGTATGTCCTAAATGAACAAACCTGTCAGATAAGAATTCTTCATACATTGAGTGTTATCATAGGTATGATCTTCCTTCTATTCAATGTATCTGTGAGTAGATCTGATTATGTACCTCTGGAACCAAATTCGAACTCTGGTTCTATCATAGGCAGATCTCAGTCATGATCATTATGCCCATCTCTGGGTAGAGTAATAATTTCTTAAGCTCTTTGAAGTGCATAGGGACGTTATACTCGACCCAGGTGAGGTAAATGGGTACCTGGCAGGAAGTAATTCCTTGAAATGCTAGAGCGTGTAATGGCAGCTAGACTAAAGCCGGGGTAATAATAAATGCGCCTCGAAATAGAATTTCTAGATACACTGTAGACGGCGCTATAGAAATGCCTATAATTATTATTAATTATTATATACTGTATAACATGATATGCGCTATACAAGCAATGAATATTATTATCTCAGTCATGATCATTAGGCCCATGCCAATTCATTCTGTAATGAAACAAACATAAAACAAAAATAATTTAAATTAAACCAAATATATGTAGTCATGGATGTGATGGAAGTACTTCTTCATTTCATTTCAAAATTGTCTCAATCTATGATCATACCATTAATTCATTTCTTGATGGTTGATTTATAAATGCAGATCATAATACTTGAATTCTTTTAGTGTTATTTGAATAATGACAGATTCCTTTAATTGTACATGCTTCAATGAAAAACAATTTTCAAGGGAAACAAAAAAATGTGGTCTTTGTAGAAAGGTGGTCACTTAAAGCAGGTTTGACTGTACCATTGATTAATTTCTTAATGATTGATTTGTAAATGCAGATCATAATACTTGAATTCTTCTAATATTATTTGTATGATGACGAATGAAATACTTTCTTCAGGTTTTTTTTCTCCATCATAACATGTTTTAACCATTGTTGATTACAGGCTGAATCCCAACAGCTGAGAGGATTACTAGCGGAGGTGAAGCTCAAAGAGAAGAGGTTGGAAGCAGAGCTTATATCGTTGCGTGGAGGTGGTAAGTTTTCAGAGGAGTGTTTCACAAAGACTAAGATTGATTTTAAGTTGGACTTAACTATGGCAGTCCTCCTCCTCCTCCTCCTTCTCCTCCTCCTCCTCCTTCTCCTCATTCTCCTCCTTCTCCTCCTCCTCCTCCTCATTCTCCTCCTCCTCCTCCTCCTCCTCCTCCTCCTCCTCCTCCTCCTCCTCCTCCTCCTCCTCCTCCTCCTCTCCTCCTCCTCCTCCTCCTCCTCCTCCTCCCCTCCTCCCCTCCTCCTCCTCCTCCTTCTCCTCCTCCTCCTCTTCCTCCTCCTCCTCCTCCTCCTCTCCTCCTCCTCCTCCTCCTCCTCCTTCTCCTCCTCCTCCTCCTTCTCCTCCTCCTTCTCCTCCTCCTCCTCATTTTCCATCCTCTCTTCCTCCTCTTCCTTCTTTTCCTCGTAGTCACTATCCTATGCAATCCTGTATGATGATAAGATGGATGAGATGTGATTGAAAGAGCACTGAATTAATTACTTTTGTTTTTCTTGCTGACCAGGTGGAGGGGCTAACAGCATGGTCAAGACTGGTCCTGTCCTTGCTGAGGCTACTGAAATTGAGGTAAAACATTTTGTTTCAGTTTGTTTGTTTTTTGTTTTTTGTAGAGAGTATGTCAGTAAATATCTAGAAAGATGTCAAATTAAAATGTCCAAGTTCTCTGACACTTCTATGAAAGAGAGATATAGAGAGAGAGAGAGAGAGAGAGAGAGAGAGAGAGAGAGAGGGGGATATATATATATATATATAGAGAGAGAGAGAGAGAGAGAGAGAGAGAGAGAGAGAGAGATATCTCTATATATATATATATATATATATACAGAGAGAGAGAGAGAGAGAGAGAGAGATACAGATACACAGACAGACAGACTAAGACAGAAAATGGAAATGAAGAGAACAGATGAAAGAGAATGGGATGGAGAGACAGACAGACAGACAAAGAAAGAGAGATGAAAAGAAGGGAAAAAAGAAATGAGCAGACAAAATGTAGATGCCATAGACTAGGAGAGAGAGACAGACAGACAGACAGACTGAGACATAGAAATAGAATGAAAATAAAAGACATAAGTGAAGGGTTGGAGAGAAAGACAAATGATGGAGTTACATAATAGTGTTAATGATAATTTATCTTTCTTTTCTTATTGCAGTACCTGAAGAAAGTTCTCTATGAGTACATGATGGGCAGAGAAACTAAGGTGAGACTTTGAAGTAGAAGATAAATATGTTCCAGGATTTAATGAGGGCTTCATACAATAAATTGGATCAAGTACACGCACATGTATGTACCTAGATTAAAAATTCAACATTGATAGAATATATATAAATACATGTATTTTCCATTTACATATAAGTTTATGAATTAAATTTGATAATTATAACTTATAATTTGCTGATATTAAATTCCCTTCTTGCCTTTTCACCCATTAAACAGACAATGGCTAAAGTGATAGCTGCGGTGGTGAAGTTTTCACGAGAGCAGACTGATAATATTATAGCAAAGGAAGAGCAAAAACAAGGGCTGGTAAGATCAAATATCTATTGTCTTGTAGAGCTTTTTTTTATCTTTTACATGTATGTAATGATAAAGGTTAATGTACTGGTAGAGTGCTTTTCATTCGCACAGGTAATAATGATATTGGGTGCTTGTATAGCACTTATATCTGTCAGACTTGACTTTCAAGGCGCTCCCGATTATTACCCTGGCTTTAGCAAGGCAGCCATTACGGCGCTGTAGCAATTCAAGGACTAATTCCTGCCAGGTACCCATTTACATCACCTGGGTTAAATGTGGCGAATGTAGACCAATGCCTTGCCAAAGGACAGTAGTGTCGCAGCGGGACTCGAACCACTGACCTTGTGATCGACAGTCCCGTGAGGTATCCACTCGACCACGTCACTTCTACATGTACATGTATGGAACATATTATATCTACATTTGCCCCTCTCCACCCAGGTGTAGTAAATGGGTAACAGGTAGGAATTTATTTATTTTATGCTCTGAGCGCCTTAGAGCAGCAGTGCTAAAGCCAGGGTAATCCTACTTTGTAGGCGCCATGAGCATCCCCTGGATGTACATGTATACATGTATGTGTGCAATACAAATGTAGCTATTTTGATTTTTACTATTATTTATAGTTTAGTTTACCTGTTTAGTATTGATAGTTTAGTATTGCTTGAAATAAAGTAGAAACTCTAACACCGAGTCTCACCAAATTCTATGGAACAATACATGCATTCACGCCTGACACAGTGTGAGAACGTCTCATTTATTCCAAGCAATACTGTACCTGTCTATATGCCTGAATGTTTTTATGTCGTTGAGTAAAACTTATATGTCATACATTAATTGCTTTTATAGAAGTCAAACTGTAGAGCTCTTATCAGTGCGATGAGGAACAGTTATCAACTAAATTATTCATACCCCTTATAAGTTTGATGTTTTCTGTGTTTTTCGTAACTCAAGAATGAAAGGTGGACTGGTTAAATTATGACCTTTGTTGAATACTTTAAGTTGTAAGCTTTATTATGTCACATTCTGAAGAAACATAAGCTGGGACAAATAAAAAAATTATAATAATATTAAGGGCATGATTAATTTAGTTGATAACTGTTCCTCATCGCACTCATAGGAGCACTACGGTTTGACTTGTATATAAAAAGCAATTTATGTAAAACTATGCAATTTAATTTTAAGATTTGTGGAAATTTGCCTATCTCCTTACCAATGTGCTAATATATGTACATATTTACCTGTATGTACACTGTATGTAAGTTACAATAAACTTTCATGTGTTTGTTTGTGGATCCTATGTAAAATGAGTTTGTTATCCTTTCTAACATTTACGACTAACCCATTCTAAACTGGTTTGTTTTACCCTCCTAATTAATCAGGACCCCATACATGATAACACAACATTCAAGGACGATTAAAGGTGGAATAACAGAATCATTTTGACTCTTTCTTTCAAATTTAGCCATCCATCATTTATATCCTACAAAATATAAAATATGCTCTTCCAAATTTCGAGTAGAGTAGTATGAAATGAACTTCATTTACTGAATGTGCATTTTGAAACTTTTATTGGGATGTCCTCAAAAGGACGTTAACTCTGTATATGAATTAACGCCCATTCTTGAAGGAATAATATACATTGATGTTATTGTAAAAGACAGGGTGTACGAATGAGAAAATATTCCCATGGAAGTCATACGTGTATATTTATATTGCCTGACACAACTTGAGTCCTGCACATACACTGACTGTTCCGATATATAATGTAAGAAAAGATGTACCTGTTGTAATGTATTGGAAGGAAAAAGTACACATGTACATGTACAGTATACATGCAGCATTGGGACTAACCCTTCACGACACAATTTATTTTTAGGGCTGAATCGATCACAAATGTAATGTCTCTGAAAACTATTGAAAGTGTTGAAAAGTATTAAAAAATTGCACATTTTGATCAAAAACAATAATATTTAATCTTTGACAATTTAAGGATTTCAAAATTTATTTTCCCTTTTTTTAAGTTTCTGGCATCAAACACATTGTAGTCATGCAATAAAATTGGATGCAGTTGCACTCGTGCATCTGGCATATATTTGTAGGGCTCCAAAGCAAAAGTTATTGAACCAAACCACAAAATGTGGAATGATTTCTTGAAATGGTTAACTCATGTACACTCGATGCTGCTTGAAACATTTCATCTCTGCCATTTGATTTTATCATAATTTTGATTTCCTCTTTTTATTATTTATGCATTGTCTGTAATGACTTCTTTGATTTTCTTTTAGTTTCACCCTTCTTCGTGAACATGGGACGTATTGGGGAGTTTGATAAACATGGTATGCATCTCATAGACGAAGCATGAATGTGCAAAAGAAAAAAACTAGACCACTTTTGAATATCAAGCTTGTAATTTGTTTATGTTGCCGATAAATAATTCTTCCTAAATAAACAGGAACTATTTGATTTTGTCTCCTTTTGGTCACATTTAGGGATGGGGCTCTTGCAAAAAAATCCATAGATTGTGAATTTCTCAGTCCCTTGGTTACATTGTACATTAATTTCTCTTTTAATTAAAACGATGATGTTATATTTTGATGTTTGTCTGCTTTTGGGTTGTATTGAGGGATAGGGATCATGTGAATAGATTCATAAATCATGGGAACTTCTCAATATCTTTCTTACCCTTATTTTACTTCTCATCAATATTCTTTTTATTAGTTGTTCATGCATGACTTTCAATCTTGTGTGTTCTAGTCCACTAGACTGTAATTTCTCACACCATTTGTATTTTGCATACTAATGTATGTGAACATGTATATTCACAAGGGGGATACAAGGTCATTGATAAAGCTTACGTGTATGTTCTATATGTATAGCATTTCTTTACTGGTACACTTTCTTGTGCAGTCTCAACTAGTCTTCCCTGTATTGAAAACTTGTGTTCATCATTATACTATTGTGTAATTAGGAACTGGCAAATTTACATTCAAATTCACAGTTCACACTTCAACATTAGACAGCTGTACCTAAGGGACGCGGTAGCTTTGGTTGTGTTTTTCTTACGGCATACATGTATGTGTGTTTTTATTGTATCATTTGCTTGACCTCAGAATGTTTCTTGTGTGTACTCATCTTGAAATACATGACACTATTAAACCCTAATCCTGGTGTTTTCTAGGTCCCTGATCATGTATGTAGTACTGTGAGCCGAAGACTCTCCCGCAACTATAACTTGTGAGTGATTGGATGGTGCATGTTGAATGCAAACAATGCATTCAAATGGAATGCAGGATGACATAATACATTCAAATAGAATGAAGTGAATCTACACTATGCATTCAAACGGAATGAAGTGAATGGAAATTTCTAAGAGAATGCATTCATCTTCAGTGAAAGGAAGCTGCTCACAGAACATGTTTAGATTTATGGAAAGCAGGTTTCCCTTTGACTGTGTTTAAGAGGAATCATTTGAATGCAGGTTGCACATTCAAATAGTGTCCATTGAATGTACATGTGCTCAGATTCCAGTCAGTGGTACAGTGCCACAGAGAATGCATTTGAATTGAATGCACGGAATGTAAACTGTGTTCAGAGAATACGTTCACAGGGAATCAAGACAAATAGGAATACATCCTGAGTATAATGTTAAAACCTATGTGCATGTGTATACTTTCTTATATTTATGTCTTTCCTTTCCTCTTCTTTTTCTTCATCAATTCATTGTTTTGTTTTGTTTTGTTTTTTAATGTTTTGTCACAGCTTTTTCTTCAAGATCATTTTTAGATATATTCATTTTGATTGTAATTGAATGTGCATGGCTATATATATTTATACTATGATTGTTATTTTATGTTATTGGATACATTCTTTTTCCTACATCATGTATCTATATTTGATTATACCTCTTTTCATGGTTGATATTGAGATCAATGGTTTTTTTTCTCCTCACTTTCTTACCTTTATTTTTGTTTCTATTTGAGCTTTGTCTTAATTTATGTTTTCATATGTTTTATTTGATGTTCTTTTTTATTTCTTGACTTCATTTCCCCCCTCATTGGACAGCTAGGAGTGACACAGAGTTAATTATTAAGGGCATGGTTAGTTATCTATATTTTCAGTTAATTTTTTTTGAACTCGCATGTGTGCATTGTGTAACAGAGGCATATCTAGGAGTATGTCCCCTCCCCCACCCCCCCCCCCCCCCTGGCCACCAGCTCAACCAAATCTTGCTTTCCTGATTTATGCACACACGTATAAAAAATGGATGACTTTTTTGTTATTGTGTACCCCTACCCCCAGCACCAGAAAAAAGTGAAGAACCCCCCTCTTGTGTTATATTTGTTTTTCCTTGCTGGTCACAAATTTGTTGGACTTTCCCAATCAAACAATCACGCCCCCATCCTTCAAAGTGACTCCCGGATATGTCACTGTATTTATTGACTTGAACTTATTGCACAGTATCCTCAGTAGGTGCAAATGTAATAGTATTAGAATTAAGACTTTTGATATTGCTTAAATTCCTCAGCACAGGGCTTTTGTGCCACAAGATGTCTTGCATAAATAGCCAGTTGAGAATAATAGATAAATGTAGGTACATACATGTACATAGTTACAGTATTAGAATTAGGTACTGTACATGTATACATGTAGTTGCTTCATATTAAGTAGCCTTTTCTTTAATCGAACTAATTCCATTATTTTTGTTATAATTGAGCAGTGCTGTTTATTAACATCAATAATTGAAATTAATGACAAGACTTTGATGTTAATGCTCTCTCTAGACACTTTCACTATGAACTATATATAATTTGGTACTAATGTGTGATGCAGATATAAACAACAATTTCTTTAGTATTTAGATTACACTGCTTGGAATAGATTTTCCTTTTTTTTTTCCGTCTGTCCTTTAATCACTTTTCAATCCTGTTCTAACTCTCTTCAATTACATTGCACAGGAAAACTGTGCGTAGAATTTGATCAAAGTGTCTGATGCTGATTAAGAACATCACAATATACTCATATATTTTGTATAATGGGCTATAGAAATGTAATTTATTATTATGGACAAATTTGATTCAAGAAATGAGTTTACTTTGTTCACAACATGAGAAATGTGGTTGTCAATCAGCAACATTTTTATCAATCGCTAAAGGCTTGCTCGTATATGACATGGCCAACCGCTACAAAAAGCAGACATCCATAATTATATTCAGAAGGGGAATTTCTATGACAAATCATATTCTTTGATATGAATATACTATTCAAAAGCCTGAGGTCCATACTGTTTTCATTCTCAAAATTGCACGATGCATCATACATGAAAATTAGTTCGTTCTCCACAATCAGTGGAGTAATGACCTGTTTTGGTAAGCTTTCACTAACTCTGCTGCAGGCTTCTTCAGACCTATGTCATAGCTGGTACTGTTGCTTATATGCAGTAGGTCTGAAGAAGATTTTCTCACGACAAGTGAAAGCGTTAATACCAAAACAAGTAATTATTCCATCGATTGTGAAGAAAGAATTAATTTTGAAGTGCATGATACGTCAAGTATACTCTTAACACTCTTATTATTACCATTTAAATTGCACAATATTCTTTTAGACATCATAGTGATGGTTCTTAATAGAAAGGCGTAAAAGTGATGGTTCTTAATAGAAAGGCGTAACAAATGATCTAAAGCTCTTTTGCTAAAACCACATCATTGTTTTTCTACAATGTCAAAAGACGGTGATATTACCCTATTTTTTTTTTTTTTGTAGGAATTTAAAAACAACACAGCTGCAGATCTCATGCATGCTCTACTGCCTCATATTGACATACATGTAACTCGTCATTTTTTATGTTATGACATAGTATAAGTTACATGAATATCTAGAACTTAACTCTGCCGACACTATTCATCTACATGACCCTACTTCTCATAGTACTCACTAAATAAACAGGAGTAGAAATCCAAGAATATGGGTAGCCACATTAGAAAGCACTTTCTTAAAGTGAAAATCCATGCTGAAATTGGTGGAAACCACTCCCAATTTAGTGAGAACCACTCTCAAATTAGTGAGGACCACTCTCAAATTAGTGGAAATCACTCTCAAATTAGTGGAAATTACTCTCAAATTAGTGGAAACAACTCTCAAATTTGTGAAAACCACTCTCAAATTAGTGGAAATTACTCTCAAATGAGTGGAAACCACTCTCAAATTGATGACAACCATTCTCAAATTAGTGGAAATTACTCTGAAATTCTTTGAAACCACTCTCAAATTAGTGAGAACACCACTCTCAAATTAGTGTAAACCACTCTCAAATTAGTGTAAACCACTCTCAAATTAGTGGAAACCGCTCTCAAAAGAGTCACTCAACTACTATTTTGGAGTGGATTTTCTGTAATTTGGAGTGAATTTGACTCCTAAAAATGAAATAGTAGACACCCTAACGCACTCTTGATGATACATGAACCATTGCTTATCATAATTCCTTTTGCAATCTTTTCAGGGGCGCCTGGCTACCCATTGATGACCGTGAACAAGTCCAGGAGGAGGGGCTCCTTGACTTCCAGATACCTGATGGAGCACCAGCAGGTGGTGGAGCCACAGGAGCAGGAGGAGGAGTGGTCAGTGAGGGAGCGGTGGTGCTTAGACGGAAGCGGTCATCGCGCCGGAAAGCTGGCGTCTGGAGAGGCAGCGCGGTGCTAAGCACCGACATCACCTCGTACTATAGCTGCAGAGAACACATCATGTTGATCGAAGAGATGCGCAGGTACTCGCAGCTCAGCGACTCCAGTAACGTTGAAGAAGAAGAGTTCAGACTCCACTCCAATGACTTCATGTGAAGCTAGCCGTGCTGGCTTCTATTCATCCTTTATTTATTAGCCATTGCCGATTGCTTCCTTTCTAATACATGTATCGCAGTCACGCCACCAAGCTAGCCATTAAAAAAATGATGACTCCACACCGACCGATTCCTGGCCATTGTCTCCTGTCGGTCTCCTGTCGGCCTCCTGCTGGTTTGCCATTGTTCCTGTCTGTGTGACTGAGTTATAAGAATGACCCTCATTCGTAATTTTGAGCTAATAAACTAGATTCAGAAAAGAGGATTCCATAGAAGTCCCATACATGTACCTCCATTCTATGACTATTTCCCCAAGCTTGTTCTAACTTTACTTGTGATGAGAAAAACTCCTGTTATATCTACTTATCTTTAATATCTCCAGGGCCTTTGTTAAGCCTATAAAGATAGTTGTCTAACATATACATGTACCTTTCGATGAGACAAATTTTCCTGGGAAACTCATCTCGATCATTGACAATCCTGAGAAGTAAAAAGGCATTTAAACTGTACCTGATCATTTATGCCCTTCTTCTTCTCATGAGCAAAAACACTGAGTTGTGAGCTTCCTTGGGGAAATATGTTTTTCAAATGTTACACTGATCCTTCTAATATATTGTCAATATTTCTCCTGTGGTAGTAGAATACTGTATGAATGCTTGTATCATTCCATTAGTAATCAAGTGTTTCTGACTGTATTACACATCTTATCAAGTGTGTATAAACGTAAATATGTTGTTTGGTGGGGTTTTTTTTAATTGCACATTCTAACTTATGATTTCAATCAATTTTAGTTTTTAATAGTCATAAGTTACACCGAAAAATGACAAATAATGTAATTTTTTGTCAATATACTAATATATTATTTTGCCATTACATAGTTTGATGAAATACTTATCACATACTTTGACTAGTAATTTTCAATGTTATTTTTCTGGATTTTTTTCTTTTTAATACATTGCCTCATAAATATGTTTGATTTCTAGCTTTTGATTTTTAAAAAAATTAATACATGCATGTATGTTTTGAAAATTGCTTCATTAATGCACCAAATAGCAGCTCATGTTAGCACCAATGTCAGGGGTAATCTTCCTAATGAGATTAGTAAAATGGGATTTTCAATGGATCAAACAGATCAAACATTTTCTATTTTTTTAAACATTTAGTGCCAAATTCTTCATGACTTCACTTTGGGTATAACTGTTTGTGCTTATGATTTTGGGCACTGTAACATTTCCAATGTCAAAAATACAAGAAGTACAGATAAATAATGATAAAACAGTAAACTTCTGCAACTAGTTGTCCACACATTCAATGCGAAGTATTCATGAATGTACATAATAGTTTTTTGACATTTTTATACAATATGAGTTTATTATACAGCTTGTAGTCGATTAGATAAAAGTGTATTGATTTACAGTGGCCCCGAATTCACAAAGGAGGTTTAACTTAACCCAGGGTTAAAACCCTCATTTTACATACCGGTAACCCATGGTTTAAAAATTAGTGCAAAATAAGCGTACCTTGCCTTGAGCGCATCTAATATTGAACCTCTGACTGTGTCACGCTTATTTTGCGCTAATTTTAGACCATAGGTTATGTAAATAGAGATTTTTACAGGGGTTAAATTTAAACCTCCTTTTGTGTATTCGGGCCATTGTGTTTGAGAAAGAGCAAATCTTCTTGTTTATTTCATTTATTGCCGTATCTACATAAGTATGTACATACAGAGTTTGCTCCTTATATATATTGAAATTTTATTTTATACCATGCGTACAAAGTTAATCTGTTACTGTATACTTAATACAATGCACATTCCGTTTTGCAAATATCTTTTGTTACCCCCCCCCCCCTCTCTCCTTATAAATTTTAGCTTGATGTGTTTAATCATTTACATGTGTATGTACAAGCGATTCTTCCTCAAAAGAAAATAAATATATCAACTTAACGCAATTTCAATCGCCTTGTGCGTCACCTATTGAAATGTGCGAACATGACTATCACGTTTCAGGTAATACAAACATGGTTTCTATGGGACATACAATAGGGTGTTGAAATCGCCCTTGAGTTCAATTTTCTAAAAATATAACGATTATGTTAAAGGCACTATAGCCCCTTAAAATGTCCAATTGTATCCTCAATGAAATATTCTCTCGACTATATTTAGTGTGTTGTCAGTTCATCTTTTTTATATTATTGTTTTTATTTTGTTTCAAAGAAGGTACGACTTCAAGTTGAATGAATTGTTTAGTATTATAAGAGGGTCATATCCTTAGCTTTTGTTACTATTTTGAAATACAATTGTATTCCCCGATGTATTCAAAGTTACTTGCATAACACTTCAATCTTGATTAGTTACGTGCCTATGAATAAACAGTTAATCTCAGAAAAGTCATCTTGATAACCGTCGACATTTACAGACAAATTTGTAGAATGAAATCCTCTTGTTATTCATATTTTACATTGAGTAGGTTGTAATGAAATTTGTATGGGAATTTGTGCATATTTCAAATTATATTTTTACAATGATTGGTGCAATTTTTCTTCTGTTTATAGATAAATTGAATACTCTAGATGAATTTACAATGTCATAAGAAAACAAGGAGGACTGGTTATTGTTTGTAAGGTAGTATGTTTTGACAGACAATATGGAAAGTAGCTGCTGGTGGATGGTTAAATGTGCATGATTATGTAAGTTTATTGTTTTTTAACACTATCCTATGTAAATGTAGGTCTTCTTTGTAATTCGCATGCTGGTTGAAAACTTCATGAACAATGACAACCCTGGCTCTCAACAGATGGTTAATCATATGATTTAATAATAATAATAATAATATTTAGTTTTTATATAGCGCTTAACAGTTATAATGATGTCAACAATTTCTAATAAACATAGTTAGTACCTTTATTTTCATCTAACCCATTTCAGAATTATTTATATGTATTGTTTTAAATTTGAAATAATTCTAGATGTTTTTTTTTCTGTGAAGCATGCAGATTTATATTTACGGGGTTTAGATCAGAAAGTATATGATTTGTTGCAGATTTTATATGATTTATTAGTAAATGTGATGGTTATATGGTTGTACGATATGAATGAATTGTAATTATAATTTTAAGACATTCGTGGGTAATTTGTTCGGGATGTATGAGAAGATATCTGGTATAATGACAATTCTTGATTAAATTGACAGAAATAGTACAAATGTAAATGTAGTTTCAATGTATTTCTTTGGTTCGTTTTGTAAAAGCTTTTGGCTAGATTTCTAAGAGGCGATGATGATGTTTTCACCCTGATAATACTCTTTTTAAGATGATCATTTTGTCTGCCCCTGTCTCCCCATTCTACTGTGTGATGTGTATGAACATATTTGCTGGTGATGGTGAATGAATTACATTTACTTGCCGTATGTAGATGCATAGTAATGAAACAAGGGGTTTGATAGTTGAGAGAAATAGAATCAGAAAGTCACCAACAGACAGGAGAGAATGAGAGAATGAGGAAAGGAGAAAAGACAGAGGAAGAGAAAGTCGTTGAAAGATGGTCAAAGAAAGGGACACAAATATTGAGAGTTTAAAATACAAAAGGAAGACATAACAAAAACGGTTCATCATGAACCCAACTACCACTATGCATATTAAAGGGGCGGACTTGTTTGCTGCATTGAGCAATCCGAAGTGCGACTAATATAACCATCAAAAGGGAGACGCTTGTCTTGTTTATTGACCTAATTTGTTTACAATCCTCTGATGTGAGAGCTGGAAGCCTGAAGAAGCCCCACTAAATGATAGATAACAATAAATGTCTATAGAAACAGCCGATTTGCCAATGTAACTATCCTAAAGTCAAATTTTTCGATTTGTTGGGACGTGTTAAAGCTGGAATAAATCCTCGTCCGATGTGCACCTTTTTATTGTCCTATTATTTGCCGTCTTCCATTGCAAATACACAATTTGATTAGATGATTAGGAAGAGAGAATGATAGAGATAGAGTGAGAGAGACGGAGGAAGAAAGGGAGAGGGGAGAGAGAGGGAGAGAGAAAGGGAAAGAGGGAGAGACAGACACACAGAAATGGACAGACATCGGACCGGGGTGGGTGAATTACAGAGACTGTAATCACAGAGAGAAGAGAGGAGAAGCGAGAAAGGAAGAGAGAAAGAGAGAGAGAGGAGGAGGAGGAGGAGAGAGAGAGAGAGATAGAGAGAGAGAGAGAAGGGCGTGGGTCGGAACACTAAACACCAGAACACAGATTTCGATGTAATTTGAAGCAAAGGGTGCGTAACTATATGGCACTCAACAAAATGATAATAGGTCAGCTACCTATAGCTAGGCGCTGAAAAATAAATATCAACTTGTCATTAAGGCACTGAAGAGATAACGATACTCACCTGATTCTATATCTTTCTGAGGCACGATATTGGTCAAGTGGACAACAGATCTAAACACCAGATAGCACTTCAAAACAAATCTAACCATATTTTGACACGATCATGGATTCTTGGAGCCACATTCTGCGTCTTCTCGTGATCGTCGTCGCCGTCGTCATACCTTCATCTGAACAGATCAGTGTCGATGGAGGTCGAGATCGTCGGGCTACCCAACTGGATGATGCTCTGGAGTTCCTGACGGATTATAATTCGACGGCAGAGATGGTGTACTCTGCGTCTTCTTTTGCTAGCTGGGCTTACAGTACCAACATTACAGATTATAATCAAATGAAAGAGGTATGATTTTTTTTTACATTATCGTAATCTATTTGTGTTTAAAGCCCGACTGTCCTACTTGTAGCTACTTGCTCCCTCTGTATAGAAAACTTCCCTAATCGGTGCCTGTTGGTCCCCCATGATCCTCTATTTCTTATGTTATTTGAGAGCTGAGTTGGTGAGATAGCCACCTGTCAGTGACCTCGCTGGGTGGTCTAATCCATCCTAGCCACACATTCGTGTTGCTTTAAATCAACTTTCGAAAAACCAACCTATTAAAGGCGAATTGAATGGCAGTGTAAGTTACTTACTACATACTATATTGTGCTACTCAGTAAGGGAGCCTTTTCACATACAAGCTATGCTTTTTATTTAGGCTCCCCACATTTTACATGGTATTACCTTGTCTGTCATATCTATATATTACGAAACTTCGTAACTATTTTCCGTACATTATACTTGATTTGAAATCTTTGATTGTTTTTGTAATCTACGTTTATACGTTTGTATGTAATATATATCCCCCCCCCAAAAAAAAAGGAATTTAAAATGTTTTTGATGTAAGTGTGGAACAAATTAACTTCAAACTTGTCATATAAGTGCGAACATGAAGAAAAAAAACGTACTACGTTACCCGATCCTGATTTTTATGAGACATTCAAGAGAGTATTGAAATTGCCCCTGATTTGATTTTTCAAAAGTATCGTTTCGATCGTCTTTTGATTCAATAACTAGATAGCCACTAAGGATAATACTCTTCTACATGATAATGCGAGATGTTAAACTTTGACTTTCTTTAATCATATTTATGTTTTGCATTCATCATGATTTTCAAATGTAAAGCACATGTAAATATTCATTGTTTCATATACAATTATTGTTGAGTATGTAATTTTTTAGTGCTTTGCATTTTTAAATAATTTTAAATCTGTCGCAATCAAGCCACTGGCTGCGATAAAATGATTATAAATCCTTTGATTCACTTTAATTCCATTTTTACTCCATTAATATTTATCAGTCCAATATTAGAGTTCGATGCCGTCCAAGAGAGGTGACATGTATTGTATTTTTAAAGTGTTTTTTTTGTGTGTTAATAACGGATGTGAGCACCGGACACACACGGTAAGAACTTTCATACTGACTATAATTCGATGTCAATGATTAATTTACGAGTGATAACATATGAGAACTAGCTGAAAAAGGAATCTTTTATTAGACCGAGTAGATGCCTTCTAAAAAAGGGGAAGAAGGAGGGGACGAGAAACCAGGAATTAACTAATTTTGGCCAGGCAATTAATTTTTGATTAAACAGTTGTAAAATGGCAATTTAGATAAATGGAACTAAAGTGAATCAAAGGATTTATTATCATTTTGTTGCAGCCAGTGGCTGGATTGCGACAGATTTAAAATTATTGTGAATAGGTCAAAATATTTGGTCGCTACGAAAAGTAATGCTGTACCTAACCTCGACCTTATACAATCATAATAATGATGAAAAATTGTTTCGATGAATAGGTTATAATTAAGGGTGTATATTTTGTAAATAATCATTTTTACTTTTATCTTGTAATTGTCATTTGAACGCTGTGATCACATAATTATTTATATATAAGAATGCGCGATAGCTCAGTCGGTAGAGCAGTGGTCTCGTAATCCGGTGACCCGGGTTCGAAACCAAGTCGATGTGCTAGTGCCCTTTGGTATGGCATTAATCCTCATTACCAGGTCTCTCAGAGAGGAACTAAAGCCGTCGGCCGTCTGGTTGCTTATACTAACAAGCATTTATGCTTTCTTAGCAGTCACGTAAAATAACCACCACCACCACCACATATGATATGTATCACATAAATTGTTTTATCGAGCAAATGCTGTACTTGTAATCGACAATTGTTTTATATTTGTGACAGGTCGAAGCCAGTCTGAAGGCAGCAGCTTTCAGTAAGAGCTCTGCGATGAGGGCTCGCGAGTTCGACGACGTCATTGAGACCTTTCCAGAAGATGTTCAACGTCTACTTGGTTCTATATCCGACATCGGAGTATCTGCGCTCGATAACGATACCGTACAGGAGGTGGGTACCAATGATTGGTTTATTCTTTTAGATTCCATTCAAAGTAATTCACTCTCTCGGTTTTCAATCTACTGATACAATTAAACCCGACCCCGTGTGTAAAGGAAGAGAGAGAGAGAGAGAGAGAGAGTGAGAACAACTGAGAATGGGGTTGAGCCTCAGAGTAAAGATAATAATAGTGTTTGGAATCTATCTCCTCACTTTTTATCCTTCAACACATCACGGAACTCAATCAGAAAATAGGGGGTGGCCGGCATACGCCACACCCCCTCCTGCGTTTGAATGCCCAAGAGATATTTTGTTAAAACTCCTAGTGAAGGGCTTACTGCACCGGGGGATGATTGTGTCCAGGATCCTGTTAAAGAGATGGGTGAACAGCTCCGACAAATTTCTCACACCAAAAAGTGCAATGTTCACATGACAAGAGTTATATGCAAGCAAAGATTTTCGAAATGCAGTTTTGGTTGTCAGAATTTTATTGGGCCGCGATGCCCCAACTATATACTGATCTCAACCCAATTATTTCATTACATATTTAATTTAGTTTTGTTATGTTCTGTTCTGTTCTGTTCTGTTCTGTTCTGTTTTCTTTATATTTTTTTTTACCACAGGGTCAATAAACCTCGCAATAAACATAACATTTACACACGCGATTGATTTCCGTTAATTTACTTCTCCGTGTTTTTGAGTCGTCTGCTAGCTTTTGTATTCCCTTGTCTAATTGGTTATGGTTGTATGTTAGCTAACTTGTAAATGCAGTAGTACCTTTTGCTGGGTTAATTGGGTTTGGGTTAATTGGGTTTTGGTATATTTTTTTCATGAGGCAATCTTTAGTACGGTCAAGGATAACAAAATACGAAATCCATTGTTTGTTCCTATATAGCTCCTCGGGCCAATTTGGTTCACATGCAGTTTCTGCCGGTCAGGCGCGCCCCCCCCCCCCCCCCCATTTAATCTCTCTCTCTCTCTCTCTCTCTCTCTCTCTCTCTCTCTCTCTCTCTCTCTCTCTCTCTCTCTCTCTCTCTCTCTCTCTGTCCCTCTCTCTCTCTCTCTCTCTCTCTCTCTCTATATATTTTTTTTTTTCTCTCTCATTCGAAAAAACCTTCCTCTCATCATCTCCCCCTCCCCGTCTCCCTCTCTTTCTCTCTCAATATCACCCTCTACATTGTATTTATTCAATCCATTTCCCTTCTTTCTACCACTGTTAATTTGATATTTGTTAGAGTTGAGGTGTAGGTTTAACTGCTGGGTCTAGCAATTTTAGGAGTGGGGTATACAATATCGACAACGTGTCCCTCTTTGGCCCTCATCTTTATACCACCCCCTTTCTCCCTGTCTCCTTCCCTCCTTACAATATAGTCTGTACTTGTCAATAATTATGATGGGTGTAAATATTCAGTGAGAAGAATATACTCAACCCATCAAGCTTTTATGAAATTTCCACCGAATCAGATTTGGATAATATATAATGGATAATTAGTTTTGCCTATTAATCATTTTATTCCCGTTAGGTGGATATGAGTGTGCGTGACAAATTCTGTTTTAGCTCATAAGGGCGTTAAAAACGCATATCTATTTTAGGGAAATCCAACCTTGATAGCATACTACTCTGGAAGAAACAATAATGTGCTATGTATATCAATAATATGTTTTGAGTAGTATCCCAAGAGATAATGCGCTTAGGTGAAAAACAGAAATTAATGATTGTGCAAAAGCACGACAATCGGGAGTGTTGATCGCATCTACGTCAAAATCCACTGACCAAAATGCCAATTTAAGATTTGCATAAACTTAGTTATCTCATTGATAACTTGCTTATTATCGGTCCGATTTATTTCAAACTTTTCCCTTCTGTTGATCTCATTTTTCGTCTTTCTTACAAATGAACTTATTACATAATTAACCGTTCTTGTATAGCGCATAGCACATAGTAATAAAACATGTCCCTAAGCGCTCTAGAGAAAAAACATGGTTTAGGTTGCCTTTTAACACAGAGTTTTAAAACGCCCTTCTGTCTCTGATCAGACGCAATTTCATATTTAATTAAACTTTACTCTTCTTTCTCAATCCTGGGCAGTACAACGAAATCATGGGTGAGATGAATAAGATATACAGCTCCACTCCGGTGTGCCGGGCTGACGATCCTTCAGAGTGTCTCAATCTTGAGCCGGGTAAGTTCCTCATTTATTATTCATCACCAACTGCAAACCGACTACACTCAGAATCAACATCGACTCTAAGCCGACTCCACCTAGACTCCACATCGACTCTCTAAACCGTCTCCAAACCGACTCCACTCAAAATCCACATCGACTCTAAGCCGACTCCAAACCGACTCCACTCAGAATCCACATTGACTCTAAACCGACTCCACTCAAAATCCACATCGACTCTAAGCCAACTCCACTCAGACTCCACATCGACTCCACTCAGAATCCACATTGACTCTAAACCGACTCCACTCACAATCAACATCGACTCTTAACCGACTCCACTCAGACTCCAAACCGACTCAACATCGACTACAAACCGACTCAACTCAGAATCCACATTGACTCTAAACCGACTCCACTCAAAATCCACATCGACTCTAAACCGACTCCACATCGACTCTAAACCGACTCCACTCAGACTCCAAACCGACTCCACTCAAAATCCACATCGACTCTAAACCGACTCCACTCAGACTCCAAGAGGACATAATTTTATTTTATTTTGTCCCAAAATTTGAAAATTTTGCCGATCGATATTTCGTGTCGTAGGGAGGAGGGGGGTAAGATCGGCTTTCGGGGTCACCCATTACCAAATTTTTTATTTATTTTTTTGATTTTTTTTTTTTTTTTTTTTTTATTTAAAAAAAAAGAGGGGGGGGGTTTAATCAAAAGCATACACATAAAAAAAGTTAAAATGGGGTGAGGTTTAACCCCAAAACCCAACTCCCCCTCCCCCCCCCCCCTCCCCCCCCCCCCCCCTTGCGTACGCGCCTAGTAAGAATGATAAACCGTTCTCAGTTATGATAATTCCATGCGCTTCCGAAGAAGTCTGGGTAATTACCATAATATAAGTGTGTATATATTTACTACCCACAAGGTAACAATCCGCTATCTCAAATATGTATATACATACTATATTTTTGTAAATGATATGTAATGTAAAAAATTTGTGCGTGTCTTTGCATGCATTCTTTATATTTCCCCTAAAATATTACTTGATCTACAATCTCGATCGTGTTGATAAAAGGAGAAGAAGAGAAAATGATTAGGCAATGGTAAGAGAACCTAAAACTCTTTTGTTTTCAACGAGATCTTCCTGTCTTGTTTAACAAAAAGCTTGTTTTTGTTCTAAACGTGAATAGCAAATATGAAGAACAATTAGTCAAGGCTGCATGAACGAAGTATATTTATTCACGATTAAACTATGGACGACTGCTTTTCATTAAATTCTTTTAGGAGGGTGTTGAAATTAGTTTATGAGATGAAGTTCCTTTTCCTGTACTATTTTCTGACACGCGTTAGTTTTTATAACCTCCTTAAAACTTCTTTTGTATTTTCTTCTGTCTTTTGATTATTTATAGTGTATTCGTCATTGCACGCTTCTTTGTTATTTACAATTCTGCTGTGACATCAGGGTGTTTTTTTCCCCAGTTCGTGAGAAAGTTTTTAGGCCTACCGCCGGGCGAATCAGCCAGTCAGAAGAATATCTGTAAAATAGCCGCAATTGTTGCTGCTACTTTACGGATGGGTGCAGACATGAACGGGTCCTATATGCGAAAAGTAAATGGACAAAAAAACAGGGCAAAATATGCTTTGGATTGCTGGCATTACGGGTTGCATGGTTATATTGTCGCAAAAACTCCTAGGCATTTAATGCATAAAATGCATGAAGCCAATATAGTGGTATCATTATAATAAAGTACTCATGAAAATCTGTGATTGGATTAAAATCATGTTAGAAATTAGAAAATAGAAGTGTGAGACTGATTATTTTGTGTTCACTTTCTTTCAGGTCTCGGAAATATAATGGCGACCTCTACGGACTGGGATGAACTCGTCTGGGCTTGGAAGGGATTCCGTGATGCAGTAGGGATACCAAACAAACCTCTATTCGCGAGATACGTGGAAATTGCTAATCAAGGAGCCGTAGCTAACGGTGAGCATAGTGAATCGAGAGAGATATTTGCGATACCCGAACGTATCATCAAATTTCTCAACGTCATAGCGGATTGAGGTGAGGTACAAAGTAGTTCCGTCACCAGAAGTTCCGCAGAAGTTGCTCCTGATTGGTCAGTTATATCATGAAGTCTCAAATAGTTGAATGGAGTCCGGATAGACTGAATCACACAAAAAAACTCGTTAATCCTATATGATAATATGCGTACTGAACACAAACTTATACCATGAACGCTTTTTGTAATAGGCTTACTACCTAAAAACTATGATTTCAATAAAAAGCTGATTTAATCGGATCTTATTACCTTAAATTTGATAAATGAAACAAGATTGCCACAGTACATGCAAAGGTCCACGTACGTCGCAGAGAAAACTATTTGAGGCTTTATGATATGACTGACCAATCAGGAGCAACTTTCGGTGACAAACATGAAAGTGTGATCGAGTGATATGATACGTTCGTGTCTCCCAGACTACAGTTGTTTCTCTTACAGGATACGAAGATCTTGGTGACTCCTGGAGGTCTGGTTACGGTGATGACCTTGAAGATCAGGCGTACGAACTCTACAATGCTATTCTTCCTCTCTACAAGCAGCTCCATGCCTATGTCAGACGCAAGCTTAACGGGGTCCACGGATCAGAACATGTCCCCCTCACCGGCCATATGCCTGCTAATGTTCTAGGTGAGTTATGGTAACGCCATATAGACAATTCACAATCGTATTGGTGTAGATGAATAAGATGATGAAGACGATGTAGCTGACAATGAAACTCACGATGATGATAGCGTTGATGATGATGACAATAATTGTGACGACTATGTTGCTGGTGCTGATGATGACGTCACCAATGAAATGTGCTAACATCACATAATTATAATTATGACAATGAAGTATTACGTAATCCGAGCGTGATATCTGTGGGACAAACAATAGGGTAATTGTAATAGTCCCTGAATTGATTTGTCGAAATCAAATGATGATAATGTATTATAAGATGATGACGTGGATCCTAATCGAATGATTGGTTGAAAGCGTACACGTGACCAGGCATTTATTTTGCCTAACGCGTAATTTGGATGACCGATCATTATCCTTCTTTAGTTTTTTACTAGTCTAGACTCAACATTTAATCTTGGCTGTCCGTTTATCATACAGAAATTACTTCATATGACATTACTTAATACCATACCAATTACAGGTGACATGTGGGGTCGTTTCTGGACGAACATCTATCCCCACGTGGTTCCATACCCTGACCTACCGAATATTGACGTCTCTGATGAAATGGTCCGACAGGTGAGTAAAGCGCGTTGCACACGATGCGTCAGTTTACTGCGTATCCGGACAACTACCCATAGGACAACTAAACCTTAGGATAACTACCCCCGGACAACTACCCCGAGGACAACTACCCCCTAGGATAGTTGTCCGGGGGTAGTTGTCCAAGAGGATAGTTGTCGTAGGGAGTAGTGATTGTCTGGGGGTAGTTGTCCGGGGGTAGATGTCCAGGGGTAGATGTCCTAGAACCATTTTACTGACGTAGGACTGCGTCAGAGACTGGTGTGGTTTCTGACGCGCCATGAGAGTGACTTCGTACAATATGTGAATGCAAACAAAATATAGAGCAAACATTGAGTTGGATTATTGGCGTAAGGATTGATTGTCTTAACAGGTTAGCGCAGGGAATAAAGTAATCAAGATGACGCCTAAATCCGAACGTTCTTGTCCTATGGCGACAACTGTCCGCGATGTATAATCCTCAATGGAATCATTAGTTGTCTTCGAATATTCATTGTTTCTTCATGGCTTATTTCGTGTTGGGAATTATTAGCATAGAACACATTTCAACTTACTATTTAGATTATCATCTTCCTCGAATAATTTGCAACCCTTAACTATCAGGGATACCGCCTCTATGTTTTGAAATTTGAATCTCATAACCGTTCACAGGATAAACGGATTGTCCTAGCCCTCTTGACGCTTGCTTTGTTCTATTGGGTCTTTGCGTCTTCGGGTTGCTCAAACTTTCGTAAATAGTCAAGACCTAATTATCGAAGGGTCGGGTGTAACGTACGTTTGTGAAATACACGCCTCTTGTCGCCAAAGTGTTGCCTCAAGTGCACTCGACACTTCTAAAAACGTTCAGCAAATCTATACGGAAATGTGCGTCTCGACCCGACACTATATTATACAAGATAAATAATCACAATAGTTCGACTGGCGATCGACACTTTGTCGTTGTATGGGCATATTACGTACATGCATTCAGTTTTCCCGACCTATCGTGAATAGGGGGCATGTTTTTACTAAAGTTCGTGCAGCCCGACAACCCGATCCGACTGAACGAAGTAAGCCCCCATGTGATAATTGTTCAAGGTTGACATTTGCCTGAGTGAAGAGAATAGTCCAGAATTTATTCTATTATCAATTGACAGTCTCTGGAAGAAGGTGATTTAAGGCGCTTGAATGCCGACACGGCACTAATATCCTTTGCCAAGATATTAACCTGCACTTGCTACTCTCCACCCAGGTGTTAAATGGGTATCCGGTAGGATGCGACCGTCATTGTTGGTCAATCAGCTTTTGAGCGTTCAGTAACGACTGGCTGGAATGCTCTCCAGGGAATGGAGATTGTGCACACAGTGTTTGCGGGCAAGCACTGAATCCAATGACCGGGGTAATAGTATATCTGTAAAGCGCCTACAGACATTTTATTATGCGCTATATAAGCGGAAATTATAATAATTATTATAATAGGCTAGTTTGAGAGAAAACATCCGTTTTCAGACTTCTTTACACTTTTCCAGAATTACACCGTATGCAAGATGGCTCGTATGGCAGATGAATTCTACAGCTCCATGGGTCTATTTCCGGCCAATGATGAATTCTGGGAAAATTCCATGTTAGAGAGGCCTGATGGCAGAGATGTGGTGTGCCACGCGTCTGCATGGGACTTCTACAACAGAGTAGACTTTAGGTTAGTTTTACACGCTCACTAGCTAAAGGATTTTGTTTGACTTTTTTGTGGGGGGGGGGGGGTCAGGTGTCGAACCATATTCCTGACAAGTTTGCGAAAAATTTCGCACATTAACGTGCACCATGTAAATGGTTGTTGAATGAATCCAGGCAATTTCGTATATTGCCAAGGAGGGGGGGGGGGGGGGGGGGGGGGGGGGGAATAAAAATAAACGTATTGGCCCCCTATCGGCGGCACTGAGCCAATAGCGAAAAAACACTTTTCATGGCGAATTGGCGAGGAATGGACAGTCAATATTGGTCCTGAATGTATTGGTGTAATGTTGTAATTTTGTTGTTGATTTGATATGCTACAGGATAAAGATATGCACAAGCGTGTCTGTATTTTTGTAATTACATGTATATTGTCAGTAATATGTTTACTGATGTTTGTTGTTGATCATTATGTAGTGTTGTTAAATCATGAATATAAACCAGTATTTTTTGTCCTTTTTTCTTGCCGATCTTTTGCAGAATAAAGATGTGCACTGAGGTTAACATGGACTACTTCTTGACGCTACACCACGAGCTAGGTCACATCCAGTATTACATGAATTACAAACACCAGCCAGTGTCCTTCAGGGGTGGAGCTAACGGTGCTTTCCATGAGGCGATAGGGGAGGTGATGTCGCAGTCAGTAGCCACGCCCAAACATTTAAAGGAGGTCGGCTTGTTTGATGGCGAGGATGACCCAACAGATGGTTGGTATAACTAAACTCGATGACCACGATTGTAATGATATTACTACTACACATATAACCATGAAACTCTACTGTTATTATTACTACTGCTGCTGCTGATAACAATACTACTATTACTACTACTACTACTACTACTACTACTACTACTACTACTTCTACTACTACTACTACTACTACTACTACTTCTACCACTACTACTACTAATATTATTATTAATACTACTACTAATAATAATAATCTTTTAAAGTCCACTCCAAATTTTATTAAGTTAAACCGAAAATGCAAATTCTTTTTGCCCAATCGATTGTGAGCCCGGCAGCTACTGATAATCGTACTACGTCAATAATAATAATACTAACAATAATAATAGTAATGATAATAGTAATAATAATAATAATGATAACAATAATAGTAATGATCATCATCATCATCATCGCTTTATGTCGCTTACTCAGGGAATGTCCTCATTTGTATTATACGTTCTTTTCGAAGACCCTGCAATCATAATGGTACACCGGCTTAAGCCGAGCTACTACAATGTTGTACTCAAGCATTCAGGATATTTCTTCTTACCGGGTACTCTTTTACTTCACCTGGGTGGAGAGCGGTAGGTTGATTTTTTTTTTTGTGATACATTTCCACAATATCAGACAAGCAAAGAAAGTTGCCACATTTTCACAGGCAATAATCATCACCTTTGAACTTCTGAGAGAGGCAAAATATAATTCAAATCTATAATCTCTGTCAAGGAGAAGTAAGCTAACATACAAAAAAGAAATACAAGAAGGAAGTATACAGGTATTTATCGTGTGTGTGTCTCTCTCTTATTCTGTAAAGTGACGGATACGGACATCAACTTCCTGCTGAAGATGGCTTTACCGACCATCGGAACCCTTCCTTTCAGCTTAGCCTTGGAGCAATGGAGATGGGATGTATTCAGTGGGAAAACAGATGTGAATGCTGGTACTGCCAGATGGTGGCAACTCAAGTGTGTACAAATTTAAGGACAAACTCGATTTAATCTTTTAGATATGTATCACCTTGCATGATATGAATGAAATATGTGGTGTGTTTTTTTGTTCATTATTAATACGAGATTTGTCTAGCTTTAGCTTCAGGGTTCTACTATTGGCTGGTTTATTTATATAGAATCAATCGTGATTGGTAAGGTTTCAAAAAGAAGGTGTCAAAGATACAATAGAGGCGGTCCATCCAGAGATAAAAATGGACCATCAATACAATTTTCAGAAGTACAACTTACAACAATATCAGCGGTCTATTATCTACTGAAGATACAACAAACCCTAAGACAAAAATTACTCAAAGATATTCAGAATACCATGCCTGGTCAATTTATCGTCCCCTCCTTATTTTTCTTCACCTTCTTATTATTCTTCTTCCACTCCTCTTTCCTTTTCTTTATTTTGCTCGTTCTCATCGTTCTCATCCTGCTCCTGCTCCTCCTCCTTCTTCTGATGATGACAGGAATGATCTGATTGGTGTCAAAGCTCCCGTAGACAGAACAGAAGACGATTTCGAGGCCGGTGCCATGTACCATATCATCATATCGTATCCTTTTATTGGGTAAGTTTTTTCATTATAGCAGCGCAACATGCCCATTTAGCCCTCATACACAGGGAGCACTAGGCGTTCTAGAGATGTAAAGAAGGTTCACACATCTTAACGTCTTACGAGCTTTTTGGAACGTCTTGACAACTTTTCTTGATTGTTTGGTAGAATATATACCACAGTATTTCATTTTTTATTACTATTTCACAATGTATTTCATTTTTTGAATCTTGTTTGTTTGATTTTTATTTCTGCATTTTAAAACATAATAACAAAGTTATATACAAACTAGGCTCATATATATCATTAAAAACAGTTGAAATATTTATATATATATATAATATTATCATAATACGGTGCTATATCATAATACCTTTGGTTAAATTCAATTGTATTGAATTAAAACACTAAAAACCTTTAATTTATCTCAGATACTACATTCGGACCATCATACAGTTCCAGTTTTACCAGTCTCTGTGCCAGTCCGCCAGTCATACAGGACCGCTCCATAAATGTGACTTCTACCGGTCAACAGAAGCAGGCGAGAAATTGGCGTAAGCACGACCACCTCGCTTTTTATATCCTAGATAACAATGGTATTATTGATGGTGATTACAATGAAGAACATTTTTTAATGGGTCACATGGGTAGGAATTGATTCTACAGGTGCGATTTGTGAGAAATTTGACACTTTGTATAAATACTCAATTTACATTCAAGAGAAAATAGAGGTATATGCAGACATACTTCGACATTAACGTAATATGTCAGTGGGTCAATTAAATTGTAAAATCCAGATTAGTCATGTATAGATACCTTCCCAATGGCAAAATGTGAAATTAATATATCCACGTGTTATTTAAGAACAAAAACAAGCATATATCAACAGCAGGTTGACAGAGATTTGAATGCGATCCATTGAAGGAAGCGCGGGTTGTTTATTAAAGATCTGGAATGTTCGAGTTATCCTCCAGTGTGAAAACTGATTGGAATTGGTCGTTCAGTGCAGTTGCTTTCCCTTTACTGTCGGATACAAGCGTTTCACCACACTTGAGGGATCCAACTCCAGATGACTATTGCATTCTGGATTCGATGAACTTCCAGAATGCTTTGTTGTTCTTGTCAACAGGAGAGAACATCTTGTTTTGATAAGTCCAGTAGTTATGACGAAGTTGAGATCTTAATTCGTTCTGATAATTCTTGTACTTAAGCCAATCATCTGGTGTTTTTGACATGGCAACCCTAGGCCTAGGCCTGTAATTATGTCCCCAAATCCATCTTTGTAAGAACATAATCGTTAAAGGATATAAACAACGTAATTTCTTAAAACTTCTTACAAATTTACCTTTCAATTACTACTTTAGAAATATACTTGGCATTCTAGCTAATCGTTCATATTTTATGAATGTTCTATAAAAAATATCACGGCCATAATCCTTGTTATATTAAATAAGTGATAGATTCATTTTGTCCGTAAAAACAGAGCAATGTTATCGATGGGGTCGAGCAGACCCTGGCCAGAAGCGATGGAGGCCCTCACCGGTCAAAGAGAGATGAAAGCCGATGCCATCTTGGAATACTTTCAGCCTCTCATGGAATGGCTTGAAAAAACTAATACAGAGAATGGAGATGTGATCGGATGGGAATCGCCAACAGGTACTCTTACCCTTTTTGCACTTTAATTTTCTGTCTGTTTGTTCGTTTGTTTTTCTTGTTATTCTTGTTGTATATGCGTTCACCTACGTGTGTGTGCGTGTGCGTGGGTACGTGCGTGTGCGTGTATGTATGTGTGCGTGTGTGCGCGCGCTCTTTATAAACTTTAATTCACCGATTAGGTTCACTTCCAAAACATGTTACATGAAAGTTTTCGTCTGTGGCAAAGCGATAAAGGATATTAAGAAACTAGTTTTGCTCCATTAGACATTTAGGGTATAAATTCATTTTTTTTCTCTTCTGAAGGACATGAAAATAATTGAAACGATAAGAGTCTGTATTTCATGTATGTTTAATTTTTTTTTTTAATTGTTATTTAGGTCTGTATTTGTTTTATCCGCCTGATAATTTCTATTCTTCTTTTATTAACAGTGACCACTCAAGAGTCTACAACAGCAGGAGGTATACATTTTTCAGATGATTTATTACAACTTAAGACATTTCTATATATTTTGATGATCATTATTACACGATCATGGACCATGCTATCCTCTCTCATCCTCTGCTCATTTCTGTTTCTCTCTCTCTGTCTATCTGTATGTATATCTCTCGTTCCTTTATCTTTCTCTTTCTCGGTCTCTATTATTCTCCTTTTCTATCAAGGATTTCATTACGAAAATATGCAATGCCATGTTTGATTCTTCATACATCTTATTATAAATGTAACGTCTTTGGAAAAATCGTAAAGAGCATGAAACCGAGAAGCAGTCAAAAACAGTCGTACATTTCACTTGAACCATCAATGAATCAAAGAAAGAAAGAAAGAAAGAAAGAAAGAAAGAACGAAAGAAAGACAATATAATGCCATGGGGCTCATTAATACTCATAGTTTTCCTGCACACTGTCATGACAAACTTCACTTTGTAACATTTAAGACAATTTTACGATTATTGTCAATTTTGTTCCAAGTTTATACATCTGTCACAGTGACGAGACAAACATCACACCAACAATAGACCAAACAAAAGAAAACAAAAGAGAAAGAATTTAGATTTAAATACTCCAGATTGCCAATATTTTGTCAGTCCGTGATCCGTCGATTTGGAGTCCATTTGAGGGGTATTGCTGGGGTTTAAACATAATACTATTATGGTTTACTAATTATTCTAACGTTTCCCTTGTGTTGCTTTTCTGTTCAGGTCCCTCTGCGCTAGGGAATGCCAGTTTGTGGATGATGTGTCTCTTCGCCGTCATTTCCAGCATCATACATGGATATTAAAGCAATCATCTCCAGTCAGGAGAAAAACAAGTCGCCACACAAAAATAAGGCAGGAAATCTAATAAAAAGAATCAACTGAGGCCCGGTCCAATTTGACGATAACTTTAAATATAACTATTAATATCATTCGTTTCCAAATTGGTTTCACTGATTTGCGGAGGTTTGAAAGTGGAAAAAACAAACATAAGTAATAATAATGATATCAATGTCATATATAATGCCAAAGTGTTGACGTTATTAACTTCTATCCTGGCTTCTGAGCAGATTCAATCCAATCGTTAAATATCTTAGTAGTGTGACGTATTCGTGTAGTCATATATCTTTCTTTTTAACCAGATATCTTTTAACAGAATAGTCCTATGATTTCTTTTGAACTTTCTTTTAATATAATTCAAATCACACACACACGTCAATAACCACCTTTAAAGCATCATGTAAAGTTACATTGACACTATTTGTTGCACAAGACACTGCTTCAGTGAAAAAGAGCTTTCTGGCATCTTTCGGATGATACCGAACACGTACCACTTTTAGAATATGAAAATACTTCCATTCTGTAATTTGTTGAATGTATACATGTATATGGGAACAAATGGGCGGTTAAGAACTTCAGAAAACAATCCTGGAAGTTGGCGAAAAAACTTTAATTAAAGAGAATTAACCGTACCAGACCTTTGAGTTACAACACACATACTGTTGATTCTTATCATTCGTATATCATGTTGCTCACGAGTTGTTGTTTTGATTGCGTTATTACACGATAAAAGAAGTATGAAGGCATTGTTCATATGCAATTTTAGTAATTCAACGCAATGAAATCAAAAGTTAGTTTGTCCGATGTTTATTGTGCAAATAACTGATCTTTTTACATGTTACAGCACATACTTTAAACCGAATAAAAAAGGGGGAACAAAATTTCTTAATTTCTCATCCCAAGCTCTATGTTAAATCTACATTGTATATAAGATATATTTACAATGGTGGAAAGTTACACATAAAATGGATGATTAAAAGGATAACAGGCAAGTAGGAGCTGGCTGACCTTAACATTTTATAGCTTTAATAAAGAAAAGGAAACAAATTGGCAATTCGAGTCAGAATGATGGAGAGAAATATAGAGCTTCAGGTGTCAGAGAGTGAGAGAGATAGGGGAAGAGAGAGAGAGAGAGTGAGAGAGAGAGAAGGAGGGGGAGCTGCAGTGCAGTTTATCCACACATTGTGTTAAAAATCTCCATGTATTTTACATAAAACCTATAAATAAAACTCCGTGAAAATAATTTTCTCGAAATGAACTTTAAGGAAAATTTAGGAAACACAATCAGAGAAATAAAACAAAAACAAAATAGCGATGAAAAAGAATCTCTTGTCCTCATATCTTGTCTTTCATGGTAATGTGCATTTCCATGGAGAATAGACAGCAATGCACAATTCTATAACATTTTTAGTGTCACCCAGAAACGGATAAACAATACTAACAGTAACATACGTAGATGTCTCCTGAATGTGATCACTCAGTGTCCATGCAAATTAGTCATTCCTACGAAGACGCATTTTTACATATTTCTATGATTTCAAAATCATTACTTATCAGACTCCTTTCTCCGTCATCGCTCTTCGTTATCAACGATCTCAGTATTTCCGTGGTCGCTTCTGAGACGTCCTCCGGAACTGTTTTGCAAAAGTAGGCTCCCTGCGTTAAAAAATCCATCAGTTTAGGACCAACATCGGACCCGACGTCGAATACAGACGTGACGTCGATGACGGCTGGAAATGGGATGACGCGAAGTCGACGTTGATTCGCACGATGAGCAGCATCTCGAATAAGACGTCCCGGTGACATGTGGGAAGGTTTGGACAACCATGGTAACTGACGGGCGAACTCTGAGGTCTTGTTCTCTCCTAAAGAATCGAAAATGTAACAGTTAAAAATTTAGTGCTACTGTTCTCGATGCTCTCAAGAAAGTCAAAGAGGGGGGGGGGGGGGGGGGGCGCCACAAGTAAAATAAAAATCGTGACAAAAATTGTCATCACATTTTGAAGTGCTCCTTTTTTCTAAAATTCTAGGTCTGAAATTGCTACCGGTGGCACTTCCAGAGATACATTATTAATGTTTTTTTTCTATGCAAAATTGTGTTGACGTGGGGGGGGGGGGGTGAGGGGTGGGGCACATGTAACCTCTCCCATGCCCCCATCCCTGGATCGGCCAATGTTCGGAGTGTCATTAATTAAAGAGAATTAATATAAGATCTGTTTGCTGGGATTAGCCTCTATCGTCTATATCCGAGAGATCTGACTCAAGATCGAATCAGTATCGCTTTAGGCCAAATATTTAAAAAAAAAACCTGTTTAGCGTCCTGTTCTTTCGAAAAATAGTAAGGAGGAGGCCTTTTTTTTTTTTTCTTCTTCTTTCAAAATGGCCGCTCAAAATGGCCGCTCGGTACATTTCCCTGACATTCGGGCTATTTTTCAAGATGGCCGCCGATATTTTTTTTATTTAAAAAAAAAAAATCAGAAATAGATCCATTTTAGCAGTGTTTTTCATGTTTTGTTTTGTTTTTGTTTTTTTTAATTAAAAAAAAAAAAATCAACAACAAAAAAGAATAGGAGGCGGCCCCAAAAAAGGAAGCGGGCGGGGACGCTTAACATGTATATTTTTTTACATGGCCTTAGACCGGACAGCTACCGACTAAAGCAAATCACATCTCCTACAAAATTATATATCATATTAGTACACAATAGCTGCATAAACCCTATGCATAACAGAGCTAAACCATTATATGGTCACTGACACTGCTGACCCGTAGTACTTAAATATCGGAATAAGGAAGGAAAGAAACAAAGGAAGCTTTTACCAGATTTGTGAACGAGAAGACTCACGCCCCCATCGGTCAAGGACGCTAGCAGACGGTCCATTGTAATTCCGACATCCTTTAGATAGTATGCAGTATGGACCATGCTGATGAAGTCAAACCCAGGAGAGTCCTTTCAACAAAAATAAAAAATAAAATCAGGTTTTATTCAGTGGTTCTTAATATCTCATATATGCTAGAGATAGTATGTAGTTTGAACAATACACTCCAACCTACAATAATTCTGTCAAGAAATGTTCAAAGGTACTACAGTGTATTTAGTGATTCAAAATATTTTTTACGGACAGTATGCAGTATAAAACACTGATTATAATAATAATACTGATAATGGTGCGTTCGTGTATAGCGCTCGTGTCTGTCAGACTTGACACTCCGGGCGCTCCACATTATTACCCCAGCTTGAGCACAGCTGCCATGTTTGCGCTCTAGCATTTCCATGAATTCATTCCTGTCAGGTTCCCATTTACATCACCTGGGTCGAGTGAGGCAAATGAAGATTAATGTCTTGCGAAAAGGACATTAGTGCCGCGGCGGAACTCGAACAGTTGACCATGCGATTCACAGTCCGGGGACGTTTCCGGCACTCGACCACTCGACCACGGTATAAGTATTGTATTCCAAATTAATATACTTACTTAGTGGTTCGTAATATCAAAGTACCTCACATATTTTCTGTAACTTGGATTTGGTCGATAAGTTCTATATCACTTCCTTTAAAATCATATATGTTTTAAAATAAATAAAACCATCGGCGTACATCGACGAGTGGTTTTAGCAGGGGGTAACGTATTTTCCCCGAATATTCACTTTCTAGTTGCGACGGAGAAAATAATGATGACTTTATCAGAGTGGAAACCTCATTGTATCCGTCATCAAAGTGTACGAAGATAAACAACTTTCAAACGGTTGCTTAACATAAGTTAATTTCTAATTTCTCAGGGATTAGTGGTGCTGCAGCCTCTTAGCCCCCACCTCATACACCTATATTAACAACTTTAGAAACAAGAGTTGATAAGTTTCGTACCTCAGACGTCTTCCAGTATTCTTCAATGGTCGTGTTCCGCCAGTCAAAGACAACCCGTGAGAGGGAAGAACTCTTCTCAACAGATTGTTTGAAGTCATTGAATGCAGGTTGATCTGGCTCGACCACTGTATAGTGGATCTTTGTAAAATGGCGGAGAAATTTCTCCAACATCATTAAATCCGGTCTACCTGTTACATCGTGAAAGAAGAAAAAGAAAATACAGTTATATATATCACACTATCTCGGCGATTGCATTGGGATTATAAATCTCGGATACCTCAGTAGTGAGTATTATATCCCTCATGTATAGTTGTTTGCATTGCGATTGTACAGAGCACGAAAAAGGTATAGATAAGTACTATCTACCTGAGATAGTACTTATTGTAAATTAATTTTTTGCTGCTACCCCAACACTTGCCCACCCTTGCCTATTGAATACGCATAGCAAAGTAGGTTACGCGAAATGTCAAAGTCAATGTCAATGTCAAATGAGCGCGCATCGACTGTATTACATGTATGCATGTTGCGCTTTGTAAAATCTAGCTGAAGCTAAACTGTCTGCAGAATCAGTTCTTATTATTATGTAAAATTCACTTTAAATAGACCTTATTGCCGATGTGGGATATAAAACAAATATTAACCTCCTTTACTCGGGCAATGGATACAAACTATCATCGCCTCGGTGATAGTTTGCACCATTACCCTCGTAGTCGATTAATATTTGCTTACTAACTTTAAACTGTCAAATTAATGTTCGATCATCAAATCACTAGAAACTCGAAACAGTCTGAATGTCTCTGTTTTCCGTTCCGTATCATATTCTAACGCTCATGCTTTTCTCATAAATCACGTACACCACTTTAAACGTTCAATTTCTTATTCCTAGTGTAAAAAAATGATCAACGGGTCTTGTGAAGTACGAACGAATTATAATCAATTGTACTTTTATCATACTAATCATTGTATCTATCTGTAACATAAAAACAATCGTAAATCGGTGTACTATGAAGTTATAATTAATCGAAGAAAATACGATTAATCTGAAGGAGATAACGATTAAGTTAGAGGAGACATTATTCATTTAAATTTGTATGATGCAGTGCTCTGGTTATGTCTGCACGCAGTTATTTACTTATTATCAAACCCGATATTTTACAGGTTAAAGGATGGTAATATCACCAGCTGTGAGCCAAAAGTACGCTAACACTCTGAGGCGCTGAAAAAGTATGACTTTAAAGGAAATTCAACCCTGATAACAAACTTTGAAAGTTTGAATGAAATCGGACAAAAATGAGGAAGTAATGAATTTTTGAAAGTTATAGGTATACCTGTTATAGGCTCTTCAAATTGGCTGAATTGGTTTATATCTCTGTGATGTTGTGGCGGACAACTCTCCCATTTTTTTTCCCAACACGCACATAATCTCTCTAAAACAAAAATGTTTGACTCGGGGAAAGTATTTTCTTTGTAGAAGATCTGCCATAATACACTCTCGATAATTTATTTCTAGTAGTGGCCCGGGTGAAGGCATTTTGGAGAAAAACAGAAAATAGTGATATTTTGCGTACATAATTATTTTAAACATTCAGGACTTTCTCATCATCGGTCGGATTCATGTCAAGTGTCAGTTTCCTACCATTGCCTGTGCCGATCCCTAGCAAACGCAGCTCGCTTTCGGTCGAGAAAGACTCCTTCATCTTCATCACGACCTCCTCCTCGAAGTCGGTTTCGAACCAACGTTCGAGTTTGGTAACGCCGTCGTTATTGGGTAAGAAAGCCGTGTCGAAGACGTCTTGGAATCTCTCGGAGTCGCTCACAAAGTCCCTCAATCCGGGGATGGAGGATGGTAGCTGTGTTTCCATTACAATGAGGTGTCTACTTACAGTTACTATAGCCTTTCTGTAGTTGTAGGAAGACAAAAAATACGATAAAAACGTTATCAATGTAACCAGCGTCCAAATGAAATATGAGACAAGGGTAGTGCATTATAAACAAGGGCAGAAAATATTTCTTTCTGTGTAGAAGTGTTATAGGGGGAAAAAAAATCATCTCTCTTGATTGTCAGCAATATCATGTTCCACAACACCCCCGGCCCTCTACGAAATCGTTTAGCGATGATCATTCAAATATTCCTAGTATATTAACTGTATTAAAGGTCGGGCGAAATCCAAATAAAAGGTTGATTCCTGTTGATGTGCAAGGCTGCATACAACTCATATTTTGTTATTCAAACATCTAAATACATTTCGTAGATTTTTAAATTTTGTTAGAATAATTATCTCGAACCTGCCCAGCTCCACCCTAAAAAATGCTCCAGATTTCATTCCCTAAATGACATCATCTGTCAATCATCAGAGAACTAACAAGAGGCAGTGGTACATGCTCGCAAAAAATGCATTCTTTCATTCAATACCTCCACATTACCTTTCTTTTCCTGGTGATGCTATACAGTACGTCTGACATAGCAACCTGTGGGCAATTCATATGTTGGTATTGTATGGTCCACTATGGTCAGCTCTGGTAAAGCTACCACTGTCTCTTGTTAGCTCACTTATGATTGATAGATATGATGTCTTTATTTGTTAATGAGATCTGGAACATTTGTTTAGGGAGGAACTTATCAGGTTTCAGAAAATGATTTCGAAAAATATCAAAAAATCTATGAAATAGCCTATATTTAGACGTTTGAAAAACAAAATATGAGTTGTTTGCAGCCCTGCATGAACATCAAACAGGAATAAACTGATATTGGATTTCACCCGACCTTTAACTTCACTGATTCCAGCATCTACGATAGGCATGCACGCAAATTGATATACATGCATACTGCACCCCCCCCCCCCTACTCCGTGAACGGAGGGATACCATGCGTGTTCCCAAACTCTCCGGCTCGTAACAAAAGAAAAGGTTTACCCGTATTGACTTTACACACCGGACTTTTGCTAAAAGGGGGAGAGGGGGGGGGGGGGGTGCTGAACAAGTCTCGTATAGAGATATGGGGGTCGCTGGGAACACGCATTTGCGTACCCTAAATAACACTGAGTGGGGGGGGGGGGGGCGGCGGGACTGCATTATATCGGGGGTATATCTATACTACTAGTAGTAGTAGTAGTCCAACTGTTTACAGTAGGACTCTCTCAGAATGGTTGCGAGTTACAGAATACGTAGATCTACATGCACATATTAACTTCCATGATCGATGCACGCAACAAATATATTACAACAATACTAGCAACTCAACAGCAGTAAGTATACACCGCGTATGCAGATTTACAACTTCACTGTGTAGCCTACATACTGTGATAGCGATCAAGTTCACTCACCTATTCAATCAGTACGTAACCCACTTGAAAATACGGAACACATGTACATGAAGAGTTTCCACGGGACTATATAAAACTGAGTTGATATAGCACAATGCAAGTGGTGATATATACCATTAATTTGGTACTGTAATATGGATACAAGGTACTTATCGAGACTGCTATAATGTCACAAACGAACCAAGTATAATGTGGAAAACGTTCGCAATAACGTGCATAATAACGAGAATGCAATGTAAGCGACTTAGTCAATAGTAGTACAGTTTAGGCTGTGCTTTCGTGACCTTGCTCTAGATCGAAGCCTAAATTGACAGAACGCGAATGATATTAATGTCGGATCGGATACACTGCATTTAAGTATAAACTTAAGGTTTATCTTCTCGATAAATACTGTGACTCATAGAGTAGTTCATTTTTGTAGTTATTTTGGTGCCAAGATCTATTATGTATTACTATTATTGTACAATTTCTTCGTGATATTAATATGTGTCTAAATGATCAATATTTTTACATTGTCAACCTTTTATTCTCTCCCCCTGTTGTCTTGTGCCCGTTGTGTGCTGTGCCTCTTGTCGATGTGCTGTAGTCTTTTATTATTTATTATATTTTCTCTTTTCTCCCGTCTTGTCTGGTCTCGTCTCTCGATTTTATTTGTTGTTGTTGTTGAGTGTGTTCACTTCTTGTATCTTATACCACCTTTTCCCGAATGTATTCTTGGGTAGTCTCTCACTCTCTCTCTCTCTCTCTCTCTCTTTCATCTCTTGTTTTTATTTTTATTTTCTGAGTGAATACTAGTTCATAGAATACACCCTGGACGTAGAAATTGAAGATTGTTATTTGACAAAAGAAGAATTTATGTGGTAGGATTATATTCCATATTCAAAAAGAAAATACCAAATGCTATCACTGTTCAATTTCGGGATGAGAAAAGGAGCTGGCAAATATGTTTGCCTCCTCCCCCCCCCCCCCCCCCCCCCCCCCCCCCCCTCCACCTCCTCTTCCTCCTCCTCCTCCGCTTCTTCTGCTTCTTCTGCTTCTTCTTCTTCTACTTCTACTTCTTTTTCTTCTTCTTCTACTTCTACTTCTTTTTCTTCTTCTTCTACTTCTACTTCTTTTTATTCTTCTTCTACTTCTTCTTCTTCTTTTTCTCCTTTTTATTCTTCTTCTTCTTCTTCTTTTTTCTCCTTTTTCTTCTTCTTTTTCTCCTTCTTCTTCTCCTTCTTCTTCTTCTTTTCTTTCTCACTCTACTATACGCATCATTATTAACATTATCATTATTTTTTGTGCCATGATTATCATCATTATTATTATAATTATTATTATCATCATCAGCAGCAGCAGCAACAACAACATTATTATATTTGCTTGTACTAACGAAATTAGAGCTTATAACAGCAAGACATATATATATATATATACGTTCATATTACAAACATATTATACGTATTATATCTTTGCAGTTGACGAAACTATAATAGGTAGTAATAATGGTCAGTAGAAAGTTCATTCTTTATTTGTTGCCTGTCCACCCAAATTGCATGAGAACATGATCTCAAAAAACTAAATTGTAATAATAATATTGTTTGAATTAGAACTAGAATGTTGCCATGGTTTGGATGTATAATTGTAATTGATGATAACTATTCTCGCAAACATCCAATTACAACAACCCTTTATTAATATCAAATCAGTAAGAGTCATATGCGTTGGTGATATACTTAGCACGCCCAGATGTGCTTGCGTCAGAGGCTTTTATGCACTCTTCAATTTCTTTTATGTCCCGTGTATTTTGCACATCAATATTTGTTCTAATTTTGTTGTTCTGTTAACTATACCTCTCGCTGCAATGGTCCCATTGAACAAATGTGTAATTATTGGTTCGGTGGGAGTGGGGAGGGGGGTCCATTGTTAGTGTATATGACTTAGTCGACCAAAAGGTTAGAGCGCTATCGTCGGCGACAGACTTTTATAGACAGAGTTTCAAAGACAAACATGGACGATCTGATGTTGTAGACGAATCGATGAATATCTGCAACATCTTCACAGCTGCAGACAAGTTGATTGACTAAAAGGAGGCAAGAAGTTTTCAAGGAGTGAAAAGAACGGAGTGAAAAGAACGGAGTTGAAAGAAAGAAATCAAAGAAATGAAGCTACGCTCATACCAAAGAATAAAAGAAACACTCCCGTAAAATCATTGTCAACTTGTCGTTATTGATTGGCTGCAGTTACATCCACAAAGAACTATTCCACAGTGCCATATTTTCACGAAGTGACGGTAGTGAGCCTGGAAAATCGCAACGCAAATTGTACGCGATTTTCCTCACTACCGTCACTTCGTGAAAACAGGAACGAAAAGTGATATTACAATTATAAATATATATATATTTGTGAGAAGAAATACAACATGGATACATTGTTTGCCATTTTCTCAACATTTATTCCACTGGGGATAGAATTTGCCCCTTTCAAACCGTCCAACAATTAATGTCACAATCAAATAACAGAAATGCAATGAAATTAAAAAGGGGCGATATCTGTACCCGCACTATTGTACAGGGAAGAGGGGAGAGGCTAAATAAAAACGAGATACTAAGTAGGGGAACCCGGGTCACGTGACCAACCGGGAGGAAGACATCCAACCGAAGTCCCAGTTTCCTGAGATTACGGATTCCCCTAAACAACCTCTCCTACTGAGAGCCCCTCCTTGCCATTGGGCAAACCGCTCTCCCCTGTTATGAACAACAATTAACATAAATATCAATAGCAATAAGCAACCTTGACAATTTTCAACCCCAAACATACATATAATAATTTCATAGCAGGATGAGTTATGATAAGCTTCGATACATCTATCTGGGCACTTATATCTACTTAATTACAGCGTCCAAGAAGGCTCTACGAGCCACAACCCTTCAGCATATTTTCAAAATAAAGAATGCCAAAACCGAATTTTCAAATGAATCTTCAATCCAAACCACCCAACCAAGACTTTGTTTCAATTAAGAATACAAGCCCATCCGGTCAACCATTAAACTAATTATTATACTAGCCCATCCAACCATTCATTCATTAATAGCTTACTGGCCCAACCAACCAGCCATTTATTGGAACATCACTAGCCCAACCAACCAACAAAAACTTTGTTCCAATTAAGAATACAAGCCCATCCAGCCAATCTTTAAAACGAATCATTATACTAGCCCAGCCAATCATTCATTCATTAATAGCTTACTGGCCCAACCAACCAGCCATTTATTGGAACATCACTAGCCCAACCAACCAACCAACCAAAACTTTGTTCCAATTAAGAATACAAGCCCATCCAGCCAACCATAACACGAATTATTACAAGCCCAGCCAACCATCCATTCATTAAAAGCTTACTGGCCCAACCAACCAGCCATTTAAGGAACATCACTAGCCCAACCAACCAACCAAAACTTTGTTCCAATTAAGAATACAAGCCCATCCAGCCAATCTTTAAAACGAATCATTATACTAGCCCAGCCAACCATTCATTCATTAATAGCTTACTGGCCCAACCAACCAGCCATTTATCGGAACATCACTAGCCCAACCAACCAACAAAAACTTTGTTCCAATTAAGAATACAAGCCCATCCAGCCAATCTTTAAAACGAATCATTATACTACCCAGCCAACCATTCATTCATTAATAGCTTACTGGCCCAACCAACCAGCCATTTATTGGAACATCACTAGCCCAACCAACCAACCAAAACTTTGTTCCAATTAAGAATACAAGCCCATCCAGCCAACCATAACACGAATTATTACAAGCCCAGCCAACCATCCATTCATTAAAAGCTTACTGGCCCAACCAACCAGCCATTTTTTGGAACATCACTAGCCCAACCAACCAACCAAAACTTTGTTCCAATTAAGAATACAAGCCCATCCAGCCAATCTCTAAAACGAATCATTATACTAGCCCAGCCAACCATTCATTCATTAATAGCTTACTGGCCCAACCAACCAGCCATTTATTGGAACATCACTAGCCCAACCAACCAACCAAAACTTTGTTCCAATTAAGAATACAGCCCATCCAGCCAACCATAACACGAATTATTACAAGCCCAGCCAACCATCCATTCATTAAAAGCATACTAGCCCAACCAACCAACCATTTATTTAAAATGCATCAAGCCAAACCAACCAACCATAATCATCATCACTTTTTTGTTTTTTGGCCACATGTCTCAAATCTATCCTCCCCGAGCTCTGCTGTGTAAATTTCCCTCCCCCTTTCTTTGAGCTCTTTCACTTTCTACTTCTTATTTCTTCCTTTCTTATTGTCTAAGGAGTAGAAGGGTGGGGAGGCGGGAAAAGAAAAACATCCAACCCCAGTGGAACTTGTTGAGTATGTGAGACGAATTCAGTTGTTGTGCCGCGCATGCTAACTTGGAATGCGCGCACTTTACCGGTATCGCGCGCGATGCGCTTAACTAATAGTTTCTCTTTTGACCTTTCTGCACTTTGCTAGCGTAAACAACTTTGACCCTGAACTATATTGTTTACGTTGCATTCTCTCACAAATGCGCTGATTCGATAACTCGAATAATCGAATTGTGAGAAGAAATACAACATGGATACATTGTTTGCCATTTTCTCAACATTTATTCCACTGGGGATAGAATTTGCCCCTTTCAAACCGTCCAACAATTAATGTCACAATCAAATAACAGAAATGCAATGAAATTAAAAAGGGGCGATATCTGTACCCGCACTATTGTACAGGGAAGAGGGGAGAGGCTAAATAAAAACGAGATACTAAGTAGGGGAACCCGGGTCACGTGACCAACCGGGAGGAAGACATCCAACCGAAGTCCCAGTTTCCTGAGATTACGGATTCCCCTAAACAACCTCTCCTACTGAGAGCCCCTCCTTGCCATTGGGCAAACCGCTCTCCCCTGTTATGAACAACAATTAACATAAATATCAATAGCAATAAGCAACCTTGACAATTTTCAACCCCAAACAGCCAATACAAACCATTTTTTTTTTTTTTTTTTTTTTTTTTTTTTTTTTTTTTTTTTTTTTGCCTCTTAAATAGTTTTGTCTGTTTTGTTTTCTAAATTGTTACTTTCTGCCATAAATGGACGAACAATTAAATGAAATGATGTTATCTGTTGTCACTTGGACCCATTCAAACAAAGCAAACTATAGTCATCTCTTTAAGGGCATTTATCAAAAATACTAACAATTTTATTTTTATTATTTTTCTCCATCGGTTCCCAAACCTTAATACCAAGCCAGGTGCTTAAATTCTCTG